TCCAGCAGGCAGGGAATGGAATCCCCAGCACTTCCCAGCCCCATTTCCCCTCCCAGCCCCATTTCCCCTCCCAGCCCCTTACCCTGCGGGTGGGCTGGTCCTGCTCCAGGCCTGCCACCGCTCTGTCAATGATGCCCTCGATGGTGGTGAGCACTGGGCAGGGCATACACAGAGGTGAGAACAGCATGGATAAACCCTGGGGCGCCCCAGGAGCGGCCCCGCTCACCCACCTCCCTTCTGGCTGAAGGCTGGGATCTCAAAGTCCAGCTCTGGGATCCGGACCAAGGCACTCTCAGTCTTCACCACCTCCCTGTTCATGTCCTGCACACGGGCAGGGACGGGCTGAGGCTCCCTGGGGTGCAGGGCTCACAGCCAGCGCTGCCCCAGCGCCCCAAAGGCTGCACAGGTCGGGGGCAGTGCCCACCTGGCGGGAGCTGACAGCCAGGGTGTAGCACACGCCCTGCTCCTGGATCCTGCCCGCTGCCTGGATCTCCGTGTTGGACCAGGAGCAGCTGGGGCACGAGAAGGAGCTGACGATGATCTCTTTGAAAAAGGGGATCCTGGTGAGCAGCAGCCGTGTCACTCCCTGCAGCAGCGACAGCGAGGGGCCTGGTGGGAACCCGAGCCCGGGGCAGGGCCCGGGACCCTGGCAGGTCCTTGTGCCACCCCGCCCGCCCCCCAACCTCCCCTCACCCCCGGGGGCTCCTGGAACCGCCTCCCGACCCCCACCTGCCCCTACTCCGAGAGCAGCTGCAGCCCCCGGCAAATCCTTCCTCGCTCCCGCCCCACCGCCCCCACGGGCCCTGCCCGCTGCTCCCCACGGCCACAGGAGCCCCCCGAGCGCGGCCCCCACAGCCGCGCGTGCCCTGAGCCCCACGGAGCCCCACGGAGCCCCACGGAGCCCCACGGAGCCGGGCCCCGCGGGCCGGCGCTGCCCGGGGCCCCTCACGTTGCGGAAGCAGTTCATGCAGAGGGACTCGATCTCTGCCGGCTGCTGCTCGCCGTCCTCGGCGCTGAGGGGCCGGAACAGAGCCGCCTCCGGCCCCGCCGGCCCCGCGGCCTCCAGCGCCCCCAGCGCCGACATGATGGCGGCGGCGGCGCGCGGCGGTGACGCGGGGGCACGTGGGCGGGCGGGTCATGTGACGCGCGCGGGCCGCGATGGCGGCGCCGGTATTGGCGTTAGCGCCGGAGCGGCCCCGGGACCCCCGGGAGCCCCGGGATCCCCACCGGGACCCGCCCCGGGACCAGTACCGGGACCCCGGGACCTACCCCGGGACCCGCCCGGGGACCCGCCCCGGGACCCGCCCCGGGACCAGTACCGGGACCCTCCCCGGGACCCCCCTCGGGACCCTCCCCGGGACCCGCCCCGGGACCAGCACCGGGCCCCGCCCCGGGACCCGCCCCGGGACCCCCGGAACCCCCGGGACCCGCCCCGGGACCAGTACCGGGACCCACCCCGGGACCCACCCCGGGACCCGCCCTGGGACCCGCCCTGGGACCCGCCTCGAGACCTCCGGGACCCCCCTCGAGACCTCCGGGACCGTCCCCGGGACCCTCCCAGGGGTCCTCCTCGTGACCCCCGCGACCTCTGAGACCCTTCCTGCGACCTTCCCCCTCGCTGCCCCAGCCCCGCTGGCTCTGTCTGTCACCCAGCGCGGGGCTGTTCGGCCGCATCCCGCGGCTCTGCCCCTCTGCGTGCCCCCGGTGTGGTGGGGGCACAGCGCGGCCCCGGCACTGCCCTCGCCCGTGGGCTCACCTGGCTGCCACCACCTGCAGCCGCCGCAGAGACCTCCCACCCACCTGACCCCCCTCTGCTCCATTCGGGGTGATGCTCCCCCCCAGAGCAGCTGGGGGTGACCCCCACCCGCCTGTCCCCACCTCTGCTCCCTCGCCCCGATGTCCCAGAACCCAAATTCGGGGTGATGCTCCCCCCCAGAGCAGCTGGGGGTGCCCCGGTGTCCCATCCCGGGGTAAGACGGACAGATGGAGGGGTGCTGTGGGAAGGAAGGACACGGACCAGCACGTGCATCACAAGGAGATTTATTTCTACCCCTGGCAGCACCCAGGAGCGCTGGGAATGTGTGTGGATGGCCGGGCGGGTGGTTTAATCCCGCGGGGGTGCGGCAGTGCTGAGGAAAGCCGCCACCTTCTCCCGCACCTCCTTCTCCAGCAGCTCCAGGTGATCCTCCACGCCGGCGGCGCCCGAGTCCAGCTTGCCGCGCATCTCCTCCAGCCGCTGCACCAGCTGCTGCCCGAAGGCCTCTCCGAAGGGAGCCGCCTGCTGCCGGAAGGTCTCCAGCGTGTGCCCCACGCGCTGCTCCAGCTGCTGGGCCAGGGGCACCAGGCGCTGCCGCAGGCTCTCAGCATCGCCGCTCGCCGCCTCGCGCAGCTCCCGCGCCAGCGGGCTCAGCTGCGCCCGCAGCTCCTCGGAGCTGGCGGCCAGGCGGGCACGCAGCTCCTCGGCCGCGCGCTCCATCTGCGCGCTCAGGCTCTCCAGCTGCCGGTTGAGGCCGTCCTGCACCTCCTGCGCGTAGGGGCTGAGCCCGCGCCGCAGCTCGGCCACGCTCTGCTCCACCTGCGCCTTCAGCTCGTCCGCCACGGGCGACAGCCGCTGCTTGACGCTCTCCACACCACCATCGATCTGCTGCTGCAGCCGGTCGGCGTAGGGGCTCAGCGAGGCCTGGATGCCCTCGGCGTTGTCCTGCAGGCGCTCCCGCAGCTCGGCCGCGTAGGGCTCCAGCGCCCGCTGCAGCTCCCCGGCGCTGCGGTCCACCTGCGAGCGCAGCTCCTCGGCGTAGGGGCTCATCCTGGCCTGCAGCTGCCGGATGTTGGAGCCGATCTGCTGGTGCACCTGGTCGGCGTAGGGCGCCAGCTTGGCCTGCAGCTCCTGCAGCTCCCGCCGGATCTGCTCCTTCAGCCGCTGTGAGTCCTGCGCCAGCCGCGCCTGCAGCTCGGTGGCGAAGGGCACCAGGCGCTCCTGCAGGTCCTCGGCGTAGGCGCTGACGCTCTGCAGGTTGCCCCTCAGCAGGGTGCTGGGGACAGGGACACAGTCAGGGCCCGTGTGCCCGCACCCCGCACCCTGCCCGGCCCCCGGCCCGCGGCTGCACTCACTTGAGCTGCTTGCTGATCTCCGTCTGCTGCAGCTGGTCCACCGTGTCCTTGGCACTGCTGCCCAGCTCCGTGAAGTACTTCCAGATCACGCTGGCCACCTCGTCAGGGTTCACATCGGCCCGCGAGCCTGCCAGGGGTGCTGGGGTCAGTGCTCGCCCCGTCCCGGTGCCCCAGGGACAGCGGGGACGTTCCTGTCACCGCCCCGGGCAGCAGCACCCCGCTGGCACCGGGGAGCCTCGGGGAGCCCCACCCCACCTCACCCGGGACCCCACCTCACCTGAGATCGCAAGGAGAACCAGGACAAGGGCGGCCGCCTTGGGCGCCATCCTGAGTGCTGGGGACTCCTGCGGGAGCACAGAGAGAGGTGAAGGAAGCCCAGGGACCAGCAGCCCCAGCCAGAGGCCATGGAGAGCCAGCTCCCTCCCGGCTCCCTCCCGGCTCCTTCCCGGCTCCCTCCCGGCTCCCTCCCGGCTCCCTCCCGGCTCCCTCCCGGTTCTCTCCCGGTTCCCTCCCGGTTCTCTCCTGGCTCCCTCCCGGCTCCCTCCCGGCCCTGCAGCGCTCACCTGTGCTGCCAGCGCCGCGGTACCTGCCGAGCCGGCAGCTCCCGGCACTATTTATGCAGCCCGAGCGCTGCTGCAGCTTCCACGCAGGCTGTGACACAGCAAACGCTTGGACTTTAGCACGGGCACAACGTGGAGGCGCCTGACCCCTGCTCGGGCCTGACATCAGCCACAGCCCTGACATCACCCAGGGCTGTGACCGGGACACGCGGGGTGGCGGTACCCGGGACACACCGAGCCCCTCCCGGGGACGGGACCCGGCTGAGGGGACACCTCTGCTATGTGTATTTTGAATAATTCGGGCATAGGAGAAATAGACATTTGAAATAGATTAGAAACATTCCTGTAAGTTCTCTTAAGCACTCAGGCCGGGAAGAGGAAGATTGCTGCACGGCATTTGGAAACCCAGCTGGCAGCAGGGAGAAAAGGACCTAATTTGCAAGCGAATAAATGTGGCTGGCAAGGAGATGGGTGCTTCTCCAAGGGGATCCGAGGAACACCCAGATGATGAATGTTCGATAAATATCTCAGACTGAGATAGCCAGAGCCATCAGCAAGACTCATCTCAATGCCAAATTCCAATAATTCCCTGAAGATCCCCGGGCTCGGCACTGACCTTTTGATTGTGGCCATCTCAGTCGCGAAATAAAAATCTATTTTATTAATTATTCAATTCGGCTCGATCGTTTTTACCTCTACCACCTGGGTGCCCTGTGGGTGCAGCAGTGGCTCTGTCGGTGCTGGCAGGGCAGCGCCTGGCTGTGTGGCTGTGGGATGGGAGGCAGAGCGACAGGACACGGGGGCTGGGGATGCTGCAGGGACCCCCCAGCTCTGCCACCGGCTGGGCTGGGCTGGGCAGCGGGGCAGGACACGGGCCCGGGGGCAGGACACGGGCCCGGGGGCAGGACACGGGCCGAGGGGACACACGAGGCTCTGCACAGGCACGATGGCATCGCTCCTTCCCAGTCCAGGCTCCTGGAGGAAGGCCTGGCACAGGAAGGGGCCAGGACACTGCAGGGCACTGCAGCCACTCCTGCAGCTGGGAATGCAGCTGGGAATGCAGCTGGGAATGCAGCTGGGACCCGTGCGTGTCCCCGGCCGTGGGCATCGGGCTCTCGGCCCGGGGACAGCAGCGATGTGTCACTGCGGGCAAAGGGCACGGCGGGCAGGGGCAGGGACCAGGCAGCGGCAGTGACAAGGTCCGAAGAGCCTGGCGGTGCCCGAGGGCGGCGTGCCCGGGGCCAGGGCCGCTGGATGTCACCCTTGTGCCGTGCGTGCCCGGGCTGTCCCCTCGGCGGGCACCGGGCTGGCCGCGCACACGCGGGGCACAGCTCCGTGCGCGCAGCACCGACACGCGGGGCCCCGGCGGGCTCCGTCCCCCCGAGATTTCCCAATTCCTGGCTGGACACAGCGCCCCTGCAGCCCCCCCACCCCGCCCTGCCCTGACCTTTGCACGAATCCCCCAGCGCGGCCGTCCGGAGGGTATAAAGAGGGAGCCCGGGGCTGCCCTCGCTCACAGAGCCCGGACAGGTGAGTGGGGACATCCCTGGCGAGGGCTGCGCTGGGCAGGGGACGGGCACGGTGCCCCCCTGTGCCCCCCTGTGCCCCACATCGCGCGTTCCGCTCTCTCCCCAGCCATGAAGGCGTCGCTGCTGTTCCTGCTCGCCTGCACGGCCGTCCTGGCGCTGGGAGCAAGTAAGGGCGGGGGGAACACATGGGGGGCACATGGGGGGCACACACGGGGGGCACATGGGGGGCACACATGGGGGGCACACACGGGGGCACACACGGGGGGCACACGGGGGGCACACACGGGGGCACACATGGGGGGCACACACGGGGGGCACATGGGGGGCACAGACGGGGGGCACAGACGGGGGGCACACACGGGGCACACACGGGGGCACACACGGGGGGCACACACGGGGGCACACATGGGGGGCACACACGGGGCACACACGGGGCACACACGGGGGGCACACACGGGGGACACACACGGGGGACACACACGGGGGGCACATGGGGGCACATGGGGGGCACACACGGGGGGCACAAATGGGGGACACACACTGGGGGCACACACGGGGGGCACATAGGGGTCACACACGGGGGGCACACACGGGGGGCACACGGGGGGCACATGGGGGGCACATACGGGGGCACACATGGGGGCACACACGGGGGGCACACGGGGGGCACACACGGGGGCACACACGGGGGCACACATGGGGGGCACACACGGGGGGCACACATGGGGGACACACACTGGGGGCACACACGGGGGGCACATAGGGGTCACACACGGGGGGCACACACAGGGGCACACACGGGGGGCACATGGGGGGCACATGGGGAGCACACACGAGGGGCACACACGGGGGGCACACACGGGGGGCACAGCCGCGGGACCCCGTGCCCCCAGTGCCAGCAGGCTCTGCTCGCAGGGGCCGACTCGCCCGAGGAGCCGAAGGAGCTGGTGCAGAAGGTGCAGGAGCTGGCCCAGAAAGCCACGGCCATGGCCAAGGACGCCTTCAGCAGGGTGCGGGAGTCGGAGGCGGCAAAGCAGGCCAGGTGCCCCCGAACCCCGCCAGCCCTGTCCCTGTCCCCGTCCCCGTCCCTGGAGCCCGGCCAGGGCCCCTGAGCTGACCCCCTCCCCTCCCTCCCCTCCCCTCCCTGCAGGCAGTGGCTGTCGGACAACGCGGAGCTGGCGAAGCAGCGGCTGGTGTGGCTGAAGGAGCAGCTGGCCGAGCTCTTGAAGAAGACTCCGGCCGCGTAGCCTCGCCGGGGGCTGCCTGGGGTCTGTCGGGGCCGGGGACCCCCCGGCTCCCACCCGCTGTCGTGGTGCTCTCAATAAAGCGGGGCTGAGGCAAACGCTGTGGTGCTGTCACTGGGGCTGGCAGGGAGGGGTGGGACCCACAGAGGGGCAGGGCTGGGGCAGACACGAGCACTGGGGTACACACGGCCGTGTCGGGGTGCTCGGGGTGACAGCAGCCGAGTGCTTGCTTCCAAAAACTCATGCAAATTCAGTGCCACCATACCCCAGCGCCCTGTGTGGGGCTGAGCACGGCTGCACCTCGGGCAGAGCTGGACTCAGCGAGCCCAGGGCACCCCTCACCAGCTCCCTGTGTCCCCACTCCCTCTGGGTCCCCAGTACCCCCAGCTCAGAGCACCCCTTGCCCCCTCCAGCATCCACTGCAAAGACTGAGCGAGCTCCAATAACTTAAGTCAAGTTTATTTCTCAAAAGGGAGGCAAAGCTGAGAGCGACGCCGGGGTGGGGAGGTGGGGAGGCAATTCTAGGGGAAGAGGGGGTCTCCGGGGAGGACACCCCAGGGCCGGGCTGGCCCGGGGCTCCTGCAGCCTGTCCCCAGAGCCCCCTGAGGAGAGGTGCCCGGGGCAGGGCAGGGAGCGCCCGGGGCGGCCGCAGAGCGGGGCTGGGGTCAGTCCCTGGCCGCGCCGCCGGCAGCTCAGGCCATGGTCTTCTGGAGCTCCTCCAGCATGCTGAGGAAACGGGCCTTGAGGGTGTCGGTGTAGGGGGTGACGCGCTCCTTGAAGTCCTGCACCAGGGGCGTTAACTTCTCACGCAGGTTGCTGAGCTGCTCCACCAACTTGGCCTGGTACTCAGCGGCCTGGGGGATGCCCTTCTCGCGGATCTCCTCCAGCTTCTGGCTCAGCTTCTGCCGCAGCTCATCGCTGAAGGGCGCCACGTTCTTGCGCAGCTCCTCGACGTGCCCGCGCAGACGGTCCCGCGCCTCCTCGGCCACCGGGGTCAGCTTCTGCTGCAGCAGCTCCACCTTCTGCTTGCTGAGCTCCTTCAGCTCCTGGGCGAGGGGTGCCAGGCGCTGGCGGTACTGCTCCAGATCCTCCGTCCACTTGGCAGCGAACTGGTCCAGGAAGGGCTTGATCTTCTCCTTCACCTCCTCCACGTCCTTGGTCAGCTCGGCGCGCAGGGACTCGGTGTCTTTCAGCCACATCTCCCGCACCTCTTTGTAGTAGGGGGCCATGTCCTCTTTCAGCTTGGCAGCGGCTGCGCCCAGCGTGTCGAGGTTCTCGCCCAGCTTCAGGCTGCGGGAGGGAGGGAGGGAAGGAGGTCAGCTCGCTGCCCCGGGCCCCCCGCCAGCCCCCCACCGCACACCTCCCACTTACTCCAGCTGTTTGCCCACGGTGGAGGCCTCGAACTGGGCAATGGCTTCCTTGCCGCTGGCCTTCACCGTCTCCAGGTACACATCGACCATGTCCTTGAGGCGATCCAGGGGTGCCTGGGGATCATCATGCTGCCAGAAGGAGCGGGCCTGGGTGCCTGCGGGGAGCGCCGGGTTTGCTCAGGACACGCCGCCCGGGGACGGCTCCAGCCCTGCCGGGGTCCTGCCCGGCCCGGGGGGAACCCGGGAGCCCCTCGGCTGGAGAAGCGCCTCGGAAAGCGGCGGCTTCCAGCAGCGCCCGCATCCCCCATCCCGCCCGTGCTGCTCCATCCCGCCCGGACCTACCCGCCAGGCAGAGCAGGGCGAGGGTCAACACCGCGGCTCTCATCTTGGCTGCACCTGCGGGCAGAGCGAGAGAGTTGGGGGCAGCCCCGGCAGAGCCATCCCCGGCGGGGCTGAGCCCCCGGCCCGGCTCGGGGCGCCGCTCCGTGCCCGCGGCTCCGCCGGGCAGCCGGGGCTCTTACCGGCTCTCTCCAGCGCTGCTGCTCGTCCCGTCTGAGCGGCCGCCTCCGCCGCCGCTATTTATGCCGGAGGGGCCGTTCCGCGGAGATAAGCCAGCGGCGGCCCGGCCGCGCTCCCGCGGGCGATGTGGCGCGCAGGGTTCAAGGATCGCAGCATCGCCCGCAGCGGGGCTTGGCAGGGGCAGAGCCGAGCAAACAGGAGCTGCCCGCGGGACGCGCCGCGCCGGCCAAGGAGCTGTTTACGCTCCCGGTGACCCAGATTCCCGCTGGCCTTGCCGGGCCCCTCGCAGCCCCCAGGGATTGGCCGCCGGCCCGGGGACAAGGTTTATTCCCGCAGGGATTTGGCCGGCCGTGCCCGGACCCCTCGCCCGGGCCGCGGGGCTGTGTCCCGTCCTTCACGGGGCCGCTCACGCCGCCCCCTTTGCCCGCTGCGCCCCCAGCCCGGAGCTCCGGGGAGCTGTGCCCACGCCAGCCCTCGCCGGGCACCTGGGCACGGCAAGGCTCCGCTCAGAGCAGCGCCAGCACTGGCACGGCCGCCCCAAAACCCCCCAGCCCGAGCCAACCCCACTGCTGCCAGTCCAGGGGCGCACAGGGCTGAGCCCGGCCTGGCGAGGGAAGAGAGGGGACAGGGAGAGAGAGGCCACGTCCCCAGAGGGGCTGCAGGGCTGGCAATGCCAGGGGGAGCTGCCACAGAGCACTGATGCTCCTGGTTCTGGGGGGCACCGGCTCCCTGCAGCCCCAGCCGTGCCAGCCCGCTGGGCATCGCAGGTGCTGCAGGGTGCTGCGGGCACAGGCACAGCTCCCTGCGCCTCCAGACCCTGCCCGCAGCTGGAAAAGCCCCAGTGCAGCAGCGCCCGGGCGGGCTCTGGGCTGCAGCACTGCTGGGCTGCGGCTGCAGGGGGCTGTGAGGGCCGGGGGGCTCCAGGAAACCCAGCCAGGGGCTGCCGGAGCCCGGGGAAGGGAGGGATGGGGACACACAGCGGCCGCCCCTCCAACTTTGGTGTTGAGCAACGAGGCAAACAAGAGCCCAGGGAAGATCATAATCATGGTTTTATTTGTTATGATCCCACTGTCCAACTAATTGACTAGTTGCAAGTGACCCACAAAAAATGGACTGAAGATTTACCGAAACCTTTTTTTTTCCTGTTCGTTTTTAGTCCAACATAAATGAGGAAGAAAAAAAAAAATACTTCTGACATTTCCAAAAAACAGAAATAATAGCAAAGTATATTAATATACATTCAACATATACTGCGCGTATTGATTACTACAATACAAAGCCATGATAAAAAAAGTGTGATACTGTGGATGGCACGGTGACGCGGCCCCGCGGGGCAGCTGCTGCTGGGGGGGGCCCGGCGACTCTCCCAGGATACAGTGTCATGTAAACAAAAGGAAAATGAACCCAAGGGACAGAGCAAAAGGCTTTCAGCGCTTCCCACCCTTCCCGCTCCATCCCGGGGCTGCGGAGTCCCTCCTCTCTGACCCCGGGATCGCAGAGCCCTCAGCGCCCCAGGAACAGGCACGGGGTAAGGACAGCAAAGTCACCTCTGCCGGGCTGGTTTCACACTTCCTTCTGTGCAAAGTCAGGAGGGCTGGGGCCGTGTTTCCTTTAGTTTGAAAAAATATTCCGGAAAAAATGCCGGTGAGAAGGATGTGAGCTGGAGCTTGTCAAGTCCCAAAGGCAAGGGTGACACCGCGTGTTCCTGAGCCCCAGCCGGGGGGGCCTCCCGCTCTATCCACCACGGAAAGGATGGAAAAGGGACAAAGAAGAGACCTCTGCACGTCCCGACTGTGTGAGGAGATTTACCACTGTCGCCACTGGCACGAGAGAAAACCAGTCACAAGTACAATGTCATTAAAAGAAATAAAATACTTTGAACAAAAGGTGCAAGTCACAATTCATATAGAACAGAATCTAGTTAAAAATTTCTCTCAAACAGAAATTCCTTTTGCCTTTTATTAATAACAATAATAATAAAACAACATTTACCAAAAAAAAAAAAAAAACCAAAAAAACCAACAATTCCTACGTGATCAGGAGGAAAAGCGAAGGAAACAAAGAAAAATCCGTCTGCCCTATATTAGCCAGGAAAAGAAAAAACCCCAAGTCGTGGCAGATTTGGAAAGAAAAGGGGAGGAAGGGCAGGGCAGGGGTGATGCTGTCAGCACCCCGACACACGAGAGGGAACAGAGCAGACAGAGGTGAGACAAGAAGTGGATTGCAGCGGGGTGGGGAGGCACTGCCAGGCCCAGACCCCCCCGGGCAGAGGGACGGGGGGAAGGAGAGCGTGGCCTCCATCCAGGAGCAGCTCCAGCCCCCCGGAGCTGCTCAGCCCCCAGAGCAGCCCCGCGCCGAGGCCGATCCCCCGTGTGGGGCTCAGGGCTCTGGGTGTAGCTGGAGTTACAGGCAAGTGTGGCAGAAAGTAAAGAACCCAAAGGAACGACACACTGGATGAAGTGAGGATGAGGAAAGGGGCCATGGTATTCCAGTTAGTCAGAAATACTACGGCAATTTGGCGCAATGCTGCTAGATACTGTTGGTTTAAAATGGACCTTTTCATTTCAAAGCTGTACACAAGCCCTGCAAGAGAGAGAAAGATGGGTGTTAGGGGACACCACAGTGGCACATTTCCTCCCACAGCCCTCCAGCATTCCCAGGCCATTCCTGACCCTGCCCTGGAGAGAGACCCTGCCATGCAGAGGGGTCTGAGTGCAGCAGCAGCCTGGAAGGAGGGACAGGGAACAGCTCCAGCGCAGGAGCTCCGGGCGGATGGTCCCAGCCCCAGCACCGGAGCAAAGAGCAGGGAAGGTGACCCATGGGAGCCAGGCCCGAGGTGTGGTGTGGCATGGCGAGAGAAGGACACAGGGATACTCACTCCCTCCTGGTTACACCCCTGCCTGCTCCATCCCAAAGGGCACCTCCGGGTGCTTGTAGCTCAGCAGGACGTCCGTGATGCACGTGGAGGGGTAGCAGGAGGTGTTGAGGTGCTGGCTGCCATCGCCCAGGTTCGCGTGCTCCTGACCTTCCAAACTCTCCCCGCATTCTGGAAGGGCAAAGAGGTGCCTCAGCACCTGTGGCTGTGACTCAGCTCCCCGAGGAGCCGCCCCAGCCCTGCCCCAGCCCTGCCCCGGGCTCACCCTCGCCGTCCCTGTCACGCAGCTGCTGACTGGCCATCAGCGACGACTGGCTGAGCACGGCGTCCGACATCCGAGCAGAGCTGAGGGCTTTTCCTGCCATCAAACTCATCCCAGGCAAGTTATCCAACTGCACCTGTGGAGCAGCAGGACACACTCAGGGCGAGCTCAGGATCCTGCTGCTCCCCATCTGCCCAGGGAGCCTCTGCAAACCTTCACAAGGCTTCGGAAAGACAAGAACGGCATCGGGCACAGCCTGGGTGCAGCCTGTCCCTTCAACAGGAGGATGGACTGAATGGTCCAAATCCCTCTGAACTAACAGAATCACAGCAGAGCTGGGGGTGGAAGGGAGATCAGGAGATCATCCAGCACAAAGCCCTGCCAAGGCAGGGACACCTGGAGCAGGTGACAGAGAAACACATCTGGGTGCTTTTCGGATGTCTCCAGAGAGGGAGACTCCAGGCCCTACCCTGGGCAGCTGTTCCAGTGCTCTGCCACCCTCCATGGAAAGAAATCCTTCCTAATGTTGAGGTGGAACTTGTTGTGTTTTAGTTTCTGGCCATTGCTCCTCGTCCTGTCACTGGGCACCACTGAACCAGTGAAGCTGACATTCTCATCTACAGCAGAAGGGAGCTGTAGCACAGCACACGTCAAGGTTTGGGCAGGACACTTCCCAGCACCCCGAACCCCAGAGGGCACAGAGCACGGAGGTCTGGGCTGCCATGGCCAGCTCCTCCCCAGCCGGGCTGGATGTGTCTGCAGAGCCCTGGTGGCCACAGCCAGCCCGGCTGTTTCAGAGCGGGAGCTGGCAGGCAGGGGCACCTACGTAGGCATCGTCGCTGTTCTGGATGGTGTGGTGTCTCTGCAGGCTGCGGGGCCGCGGGTGCTCGCTGGACGAGGGGCGCACGGGGTAGCCCAGCCCGTTGTGGTCAGGCACCTGCATGGCTTGGCCGGGGGAGCTCCTGTCCATGCAGTTCCCCACGATGGACTCTTGAGAGCCAGACAGGACAGAAAAAGGACAGGTTAGTACAAGGAAGCTGCAGCCACCTGTGCCACTGCAGAACTGAGACGTGATGCCACACACAAACGCTCCTTGCTGGCAGAGCAGGGACAGGACCCCAGTTAGAGTGGGGCAGCACCACTGCCCCCAGCTGCACTCACACAGGCTTCTCCCTCCAGCTTCAGTATCCCAAACCATCCCAATGCTAGCTGCCTTCCATCAGGTCTACAAAACAGCCTGAAGCTGGAGGCACTGGGGCAGGAGCAGAGGAACCAGACCCTTTCCCACTTGTGCCTTCCCCTCGAGCCTGAGCTCGACCCCCACATCGTTACACAAGAGCTGGGGGAGCCTCCAACACGGGATGCTCCAGCAGGGCCCCCTGGCAATTGTAAGCAACATAATCCTGCTGAAGAGCTGGCCAGGATCTTCACTTTTATCAGATGACTTCTCCCTGCCCTCCCACAATCTGGCTGCGGGAGCACACAAGTGTTCTGCCTGGCAAAGTCCATCTGCACTGCAAGCTCTTGTGACTGAGGGCAAAGGCCGCATTCCTATCAGGCAAAGCCTCTCATCATCAAGTACACGATGTTTTGGATAAAGTCCTGAGCCGTGGAGGAGCTGTCACTGGGATGGAGCTCGCTGAGCATGGACCCTGCCGAGCACAAACGCCCGACGCGGCCGCGAGCGCCGGGGAGCTGCCCCGAGGTGACACAGCTGAGGTCCATCCCTCACAAACCACCGCTTTCCCAGGGCTTTGGCCAGTGGGAAGTGATGTCCTGCTGTGCTGGGACACTGCACAGCCCAGCTGGCACTGGCACTGCCACAAAACCGCTCCCTGAAGGGATCTCAGAACCCTCGAACATCCCCACAAGGATCATGCTTGCCCCTGCACAGAGCAGTCCCAAAATCTGTCCACAATCCAGCAGAATTCAAGTGAGACCCCATCCCATGTGGTCTCCACGCTGCTCACAGGCATGCACACTGCTCCCCAGGCTCTCCCTCCATCAGGAATGTGCCATTCCTGCCGAGCCCCGTCCCAGGGCACTCAGAGATGCAGCCTCCCCCTGCCTTTGCACAACCGTGGGGTTACGTGCGGTTAGCAGTCAGCTTTCCCGGAAAAGAGAGAAGGAAAACATGAGGTAACAGATGTTAGCGGATCAGTGCCACCCACACACTGCTTGGGATGCTGCTCCAACTGTGGGAACAGAGGTTGGGGCCAGCAGCCTGCTGCTCAAACAGCCCCAGCCCCAGTCCCCGTGTGCGGGTGACGAGTTCCCTCAGCCTGGAAGAGCCAGGGCCCCAAAAACAGCTGCTCCCAATGCCAGCACTGCACCTCTGGGGATGCTGCCTTGGAGCAAGGGACAGACACCCCGAATGGACACCCCAGGCCTGCAGGGGAGAGCCTTTCATGCCCACATCCTTTGTGTCACCGTGGCATGTGACGCTGGCACGGCCAGCCGAGCCCAGGCAGGTTTCCCACGGGCAGCGCTCCCAGCCCGGGACGGCCACGCTGGAGCAGAACTGGAGCAGGGCTGCTCACAGGCAGCTCAGCCACATCCCAAACAGATCTGCTCGGCTCTCCAGGTCCCCGCTGCCGTCCCTGGCAGATGCTCCACAGCCACCCAGAGCTCTGGGATCAGCGCTAGCACGCGCCCTGGGGAGCACAGACACTCCCAGGGCACAGGGAAACTGCTCTGCTCCAGGGAAAACATCTGGGAGCTGAGCAGGGAGGGAAGACACCCTCAAACTGCACCCTCGTGACACAGTCTAGGGAAAAGAGTGGGAAAAGCCAGGGATGTAGGATTTGGTGTGGGCAGCAGTGGGAAAACTGAGTGATGTAGGATTTGGTGTAGGTCAAAACCAGGAAAGCCCAGGGGTGTAGATTTGCTGTAGGTAAAGGCACCTGGGAAACTCTGAGGTGACTCTGCCTGCACCCGAAGAGGCACAGGCCTGAGTCCAAGTGGGTTATGGAAGCCATAGGGAAGATGGTACAAACAGCTGCATCCCAGGACATAGTTTACTACAAACAGCCCTGTCAGAAGGGCTTACACAAGCCTATTTGTAAACATCTATTTGCTTTTACTCATTTACAAGGCTTTGCAGTCTAAAGTCCTTTTCCTTTGTGTAACCAGTCCTTGCAACAGCAGTGTGGGGGCTGAGATTTGGCTTCTGACTTCAGCAGACCTCACTGTCCATCTAAGAGGCTTCAGTAACAAGATTCAGACTCGTGATTTCGTACCAACCCCCCTCCAGAGCTTCCAATCTCCGCTGAGCCTGGGACGATTCCCCCACTCCAAGCACAGCAGGGAAGCAGAACTCTGAGAGCAAACAGAACTCAGAATTTCGGAGGATTTCAGCACAGCCCAGCCTTGTCCCTGCCCCCCGCCCACGCTCTGGGGGGTCAGGGCTTGGCAGCCCCACTCAGCCCTCCGAGCCAGCCTGTTCCAGCCCGGTACTTTCCCAGCAAACCCGTGCTGTCCCTGAACAAAGCTGGGCCCTGGACACAGCTCCTCCGCAGCAGGGCCCGAGTGCCAAGGGCAAGCCGGTGGCTCCAGCCCAGCACCCCGAGTCCTGCAGGGAATACTGATCTGCCCACTCAGCCTCTGCTCAAAGCCCTCTTAGTGAGGGGCTCGGAGGGGGTTTTTCCTGCAGAGGAGCCTGTAATTACAGCTCAGGCAGGAATTCCCCGACGGCCCAGTGCTGCCAGAGCAGCCACAGAGGAGCAAAGGTGCAGCTGCTTCCAAGGAGCGGGAATGGTCTTCAGATCCTCACGGCAAGTTTAAACTCACTCTCTCCAGAACCCTCCCTTCCCAGTTCAAGCAGGGATAGAATCTTGCTGTTGCTGCTGCTTCCCAAAGTGTCAGAGAGACTGCGAGGCTGCTGGAGCCACAGGACACTGACCAACACTGTTACTGTGTGTGTTTGTGGGAGCTTTAACAGCGCCTGGGCTTGAGGGTCTGTGCTCGAGAGCAGGAAGAAATGGCTACACTGCCACAGCTGGGCTGAGCTGGCAGCTGAGCTGCTCCTATCCCATGTTTACAGGGCATGGGGAACATCACAAACAAGAATAAATCTGGCCACCAGGCAGCAGCCCAGTCTTTACCTGCCTGCAGAAGTAGGTCAACCTCCCAAGGGAAGCAGCCCATCGGGCTCCTTCCTTATTCAACCCTGTTTATTACAGAGGCTGTGCCTGCAATTTACTTCAGGCCACAAAAGCCAGAAAGAATCTGGGTAATCCTGTGCTATGCAGAGTTTGTCAGAAACCCTTGGTGTGCTGGGTGGGACGGCGTCCTGGGCAGGAGGGTGAGTGCCTGGCACGCTCGGGCAGAGCAGGGAGCCTTACCTCTGCTGGGCACCTTATTCCTGAATCCGGGCGCGGGCTGGTGCCGGTACTGGTGCGTCCCCAGCTCCTGCGCGGGGTTAGCAGTTCCTAGCAAAGATTCGGGGTCCCCGTGCCCTCCTGCGTTTACCAGCAGAGGGGTCTCGTGGCAACCTTTGGTCAATGTGTTTGAACTCTTACTGTCGGGAAAGCTGTCCCTGCTCCCCTCGCAGGCGCAGTCCTCCTCCATGCTCTCCGAGTGGAACAGGGCTGGCTGCTGGCCGTACCCCTGCGGCGGCACGGAGGCAGGCACCTGCTGCATACATTCTTGCGCCCTGATTTTTAAGAGATGCTGGGGGCTGTTCTGGGGGTGGTAGGTGTCGGCACTCTGATAAGGCAAAGACAACGACTGGCGCTCCGAGAGGTTCTGTCCCATGCTGGTGCCCATGTTCCCAGCATCCCCTTGACTCATATGCCTGAACAACTCTTGGAATTCTTGCTGCTGCTGCTGCTGCTGCCGCCGTTTGATGAGCTGTGCAAATTCTGCCTGGGGCAGCCGCATGTCCGTGTGCCCCGTGAGCGAGTGCCGGGGGGAAAGCAGTCCCTGGAGGATGTGCGGTACCTGCTGGTGTCGGCTGTAGTCGGGCGGGGTCGGGGACAACAGTGCCTGCTGTAGTGCCGATGCCGTGTAGTGCTGCTGCTGCTGATGTGCGTTCGGGGGGAAACTGGGGTACTGCTCGAGCTGCGGCACCTTCAGAGCTTGCTGGGCCGCAGAGAACCCGACCCCTCCCGGCGGGCTGTAGTTGCTGGGGGAGACGCGGGGCTGCTCCGGGAACAGGTGGGGGTGTAAGTGCACCTGGTCGTAGTTGGCAGGGGGATACCTGTTCACGTTCAGACTGCAAGGACAAGGAGAAGGACAAGTGACCGCGCTGCTCAGCAGGAGCCAGGGCTGCTCCTGCACAGAAGGGGCTTCCCCAGGTACGTGGGCCAGCAGCCCTGGCCTGGCTCAGCACGCCTTTCCCAGAGTGGGAGCCCAGCTCAGGCTGGCAGGGACAGAAGGAGCCCTGGCCTGGCTCAGCACGCCTTTCCCCGCGAGGGAGCCCAGCGCAGGCCGGCAGGGCCAGCGGCTCTCCTGCTCCCTGGGCAGGGAGGGCTCTCACCTGTGCGACTCGGCGCTGTCGGCGCTCAGCTGCTTGGACAGCTGCCGGTGGCCGTAGCTGAGCGAGGCCATCAGGTTGGCGCGGTGCTGCATCTGGATCTGGCTGGCGCTGGGGCTCAGGGACATGCCCCGCGCGTGGGACGCCAGGCCCTGCCCGAGGCCGCTGCCCACCATGTCCCCGGGCTCCTGCACTTGGATGGTGACCTGCTGCGGCTGCGGCTGCTGCTGCTGCAGGGCCAGGCACGTCAGCCCCATGGCCGGCGGCGGGGAACAGTTACCCGACTGCGGGAAGATGCTGCTGTGGGATGGCATCCCCTGGAACTGGGACTGGGAGGCAGCACCTGCAGGGAACAAAGACCCTCAGCGCCGCTGCCAGCCCAGGGCGAGCCTTGGGAGCAACATCTACTCCATCCCCCAAAGTGCCGGACAGGGCTTGGGTGAACCTGCTCTAGTGAAAGGTGTCCCTGCCCGTAGCAGGGGGCTGCAGAGGGATGGTCTTTAAGGTCCCTTCCAACCCAAACCAGGCTATGATGCTGAGATTCATCCCATGACTCTGGGCCAGTCTGGGAGCCTAGTACCTGTCCATATGGGTGCTCTGTCATGCTGTGCCAGCGTGCAAAGGTCACAGCCAGAGCCCCTTGCACCAAAACAGAAACTCTGCGGGGCTGACAGTGATTTGCATAAACCTGAGAATATCAGCCCTTCCTCCCCACCCCCGGGAGCGATAAGTAAGGATCTTGTGACAAGGAACCCGACAGCACATTCCAGCTGGCAGCTTCTCCTGAGCTCTTGGTAACACCAGCTCTTGCTGCCAGATGGAGAATCTTTGACATCATCAGCAAACTGTGCAGGGCCTGGGCTGGGGTGGGAACGGAGCCCTGGCAGCCCCAGGCTGCTCCTGCAGGGTTTGATGGGCTCACAGGGCCCTGCCCAGCTCCCAGCAGTGCTTACCATGGGGCTGGAGCACGCTGCTGCTGACGGGGGGCGGGCTGCTGTTGGGCTGCCTGAAGAGATGGTTGCTGGGGTGGTTTGGGGGTGGGCTGGACGGCTGGATCCGTAACCTGTGCAGGGAAACAAGCACCTTCTCACCAGGCCTGCTCCTTGCCAAGATGCCGCCTCAGCCGTGAGAACTGATGCCAAACACTGCCTGTCTTGTTCAAAATAAACACTGTAAAGCCCTTGCTAGGGATCCCAAGGTCTCTGCAGCTTGACTTCTCTTCTGAGGGCCACTTCACTTGTCCAAGTCACACAGGGAGTGAGCATGACCTGGTGGCCACCACAGAAACCTGGGGACAAGGACACTGCAGGCTCACCTCCTGACTCACTGCACCGGTGAGACACCCTGCTCTCATTTCCCGTAACTCAGCCTCCCTCACCCACAGTCAGGGTGCTGAGGGCAAGGAGGCTGAGCTCACCGAGGGCCTGGCAAGGTGTGAGACACCCAAGGAAGCATGAGAGAGCCTGGCTGCTGAAGTGGCAGCTTCAAGCCACTCAAAAGGCAGGACTGTCAACCCTCTGCTCAAAGCAGGTCTGTGCTTTTGGATCAGATTTCTCTGATTCTAAAGTCCTTCTGAGAGAATCCAGCTCAAAGGACCAGGCACGTTCACCTGGGAACTGGCAGTGTCATTCTGACTCCATAAACTTCCAACTCAGCCTGGCCTCTCCTGAGTGTGTCTGCTCATGCCTGGGCTTCGGGAAGAGCAAAAACCCAGCGCTGTCCTAAAGCCATTTCTTTACCTCTGGAGCTGGTGAGTGAGCAGAGCTGGCTGGTTTTCACATGGAGCTTGCAAGGGTGGAGATGGCTGGGGAGGCCGGATACAGTCCTGAACCAGGCACCACAAGAAAACAAGAAGTGTTTGCAGTCAATGTCTCAGTCAGTAAATTTAGAAACACTGCTGGGTGAAGCAGGACATATCCAGATTCACTGAGTGTCAGTCCCTGACTGCAGCCCTGGCTGCCACAGCTACCACAGCAGCTGTGCAAACATCTCTGCTGAAATCCTTCAGCAAGCCCAGCAAACTCCCCTCCCTCAATCCCCCCGGGACCTGCTCACGAGTTGTGCCTGCAGCAACACAGGAAAACAGAGCTGAGCCTTCTGCAGCTCTGGCTCGGGCTGCACTACCTGAATCTGCTGATGAAGAATCTGGTGGTGCTGCTCCTGCTGGTACAACATGTGCTGCTGCTGCGTCTTCTCCAGCGTCCTCTCGTCCATGTGCCCACCGTACATCTTCTGGAGCTGCTCACACTCCTGCAAGGAATCCAGCACGTCCCATCAGTGACCTGCTGGTGCACAGCACCCTGCTGCCTGCGGAATGGCACGCTCTGTGCCCACCCCTCAGAGAAAAGCTGCCAGAGAGAGCCTAATCCATTCCCTCTGACAGATCAGGGGTGCAGCGAGGTGGCAAAAAGCCAGGGAAACAACGGGTGCATGTGACACCCAGCTGGCACCGCTGTGTCCCCTAGAGCAGGCAGCAAGCTCTGGAAACGACACTTCAAGGTGAGGAGAGCATCTCCTTTGTGCCCTGCTGCAAGGGGAAAGGCCTGTCCTGGGGCCAAATCCTGCCCAGCCACCGGCAAGTTGTGCCTGGCTGCGCAGGGAATGTCCCACAATACACCCCAGACTCTGGTGGTAGGGGCTGCCCTTTGCAGGGACACCCTGGAACAGCCCCAGGCTGCTGCCAGAGGAACGTGGGAGAGCAGGAGCTGCAGTCTGACAGTGCTGGGGGGCCCTGCAGGGACACGCAGGACACCCGTGGCTGGGCACAGCACGATGGCTCTCCCCAGAAAAGAGGGGGCAGGAATCCCCCAGGTGCCCAGCTGCAGGTGAACAGCTCATCCATCCAGAGGACACTTGGGGTTTGCTGCAGTCACACAGGGCAGAACAAACCCTGCAAAGTCCCCACTGTGTCCCTCAGCCTGCCGTGTAAAGACTCCTCCTTTGCTCCCTGAAGCAGCAGGACCGAGGCAGGAAGGACTCCTTGTGGAGGCTGTTCTGAGGACCCCCAGCCCCTCTCACCTGCTGCAGCTGTTTGATGCTGCTGTTGTTGCCCATCTTCTCCAGGTGGGCTTTGAAAGCCTGGATGCTGGCAGCCCCGTCGGAGAAGCGCCGGACCGGGGAGAAGCGCTCGGTGGGGAGGTGCAGAGTGTTGGAGTCCTTGTAGATAGAACTGAACACGGGGGGAAGGGGGTTACTGACGTGACACCAGCCAGAACACCAACTCCAGTGCAGACTGCAGCTCCACCAGCTGCCTGGGCAGTCAGAACGGGCACACCTGAACCCAGCTGTGCCCAAGGCACCTCCAGCACTTCCCTCCTCAATGAGGTTTCTCTGCCATCAGAGGGAGCCAGATTTTTTTCAGGAGCTGTTTTCTCCTGAAGCTGGGGCTCACTGAGCTCCTGCCCTGCCATTAGGTGCCACCTGTGTTATCAGGAGCAGAGATAACCTGGCAGACACTCCTCACAATGTGCCTCACAACAAACAGCTGGGGCTCTCTGCCTGCCCTCATTGTTTCTGGGCAAATGCTATCTCTGGAACCTGATTTCTGTGCAAATCATAGAAACTCAGAATGGTTTGGGCTGGGAGGGACACCTTCCACTGTTCCAGGTTGCTCCAAGCCCTGTCCAAGCTGGCCTTGGACACCCCCAGGGATGGGGCAGCCACAGCTGCTCTGGGCATCCTGTGCCAGGGCCTCCCCACCTCACAGGGAGGATTTTCTCCCACCACTAAAGGATTGCTTTTGTAAAGGTTCTGCAGATGCCATCTCCAGAACTCAGCAAGCAGCATTTCATGCACAGGCTGCAGCAGCAGCTCTGTGTGTGAGAAGGTCATGGAGACGTGGTCCTTCCAGCCCCTCTGACACCAAACCCAGCCAGAGCCCACCTGGCTGCAGCTGGAGTGGTCCTGAGCTCACTCTGGGGCTCCCCTTGTCACAAGTGACTGATGCTGGACCACTTCCAGCAGGCTGGGCTCTATTTTGCCCCTGTCTCTGCCTTAGGAGGCCACAGTTCAGCTTCCTTCCAAGGAAAGCGCCGTGCTCCCGCCTTTTGAAGCCACCCCATCCATTATCCTGATCCATTTGTTCTCCTGTTGCATTGATGGAAAGCAGAAGCTACAGATAAAATCATGCTGAGTTTTTGAAACCCGTGTGGGCAAGGCAGAGCAGCTGCACTTCCCTCTACAGCTGTACTTCAATTCTGCTTTCAGATATTTAACGTGACAAATAAGAAGACATATAAGATGGCTTAAAATAGGCTAAGGGCTAAAATAAAACCCACCTGCCATTCAATAATGTGGTTTATTTACACACTGACTGCCAATTTCTGTGCCAGGTGTGCAATGAACTCACTGTGGAACACTGTGTTTGGAAATTTCTGTGATTTCACAGGAAAAACACAGAACAGGCTCACAGCACGTTACAACACCAAGAGTGGAACGAGCAGATACCACCCTGCTCGTGATGCAACAGCTTCAGGACTCCAGAGCCAAGAGCCAGAGGTGACACCAACATTATTTACAGGGTAAGTGTGCTTAAAGTCTTGTAAAAATTCCGTTCCTGCTGTGTGCGAGGGACTTGCTTACCTTTAGGATTTGCAGCAATCCTGAAAGCAGGACACAGCACATTCTGCTTCTTTTGCAAGCTGCACTCTCCTTCCTATCAAGCTGTGGCCCTAGAAATGTTTCCCCTCCTGCTCTTCCCATCCCCCAGGCACCTCTGAGGGAGTAACTTGAGGGCAGAGAGGAGCTTATCTTGGTTTTCCGGAGCTCCAGCGTGGCACTAGCAGTGTCTCAGTCTGCTCAGAGTTCACCTGTCCCTGCTGATTACATCAGTGCTCAGCTCAGCAGGTCTCTGGCTCCAATAAAAAGGGCTTTGTCAAGCCTGCCAGTGTGAGCTGCCCGAGGGGTGAACAGCAGCACAGCCTGGCCTGGCAGCCACTGCCTTCCCAAGGCAGCAAGCTCCAGTGTGCAGCTGCTTTGCTCCTAGCACTGAGGTGTCAGGGCACTTCCAAGCAGTTTTGGGAGGATTTTTTTTTTTGTTAAGAGGAATTTAAGCTCCCTCCGTGGCATTAGCATCTCCGGTTGGCTGCTGTGACAAGGACTCTGTCACATTAACACCTCTCCATCAGGACTGTCCTTCCCACACATCCTGGGTATATTTAGATCCAATCCAAAAGTTCCCTCTTTCCCAGACACTGTGATTTTTTTTTTCCTTCCCCACCCAGATTCCTTTTCTCACATCATTCCCATTAAGGGCTCAGGTGAGAAATGAAATTACTCTCGAGGAGCTTTGCACAGAGACTTTGCAGTCAGAACACACAACTCTGGTGCAGAACAGTGAGGGTTTTAAGCTCTGCTGTGGAAGAATCTTGGTGCAATCTTTTTCCTGCATCTGCCTCCAAAAATGTTCTGTAGCAAATCTGCTACCTTGATGCCAAGCATTACACAGGGAAAAGCTTTCCTCTAAAAAAAATTAGCTTATTCCCCTTATTTCTGTGATGGCAGCCATTGCAGCAAATCATGTCCAGCCACAAAAGTGGGACTGGAGGGAAGAGCCAGCTGATTCCTGCTGGTCTGCAGGCAGGGGGTCAGACACCTTCTGCTCTGTGGGTCTGCTCTTCGTCCCTGCTCCTCCTCCTCCTCCTCCTCCTCCTCACCCCTCCCTGCCAGCGGGATGTCCTCGGTGCTCCATTCCAGGGCCACCTGGGCAGGACTCGGCGCACGCTGCCCGGCCGGTGCCGTTACTCACCGGTGCTGGTCGGGTCCCAGGTGTGGAGCCCAAGCCCGGGCTCGGAAGGGCTGCTGTCCTAGCTGCCTCTGCAAGTCTGGAGGGATTTCAGCTGTAGGGTTGGTCATGGCCAGAGTGTGCCTTTTTGACCTATTTGCCAAGTATCTGCAACAAGCAGGAGCACATTTTATAAGAGACTGATGGGAGTACTCCGAAAACAGGGAGTGTTAGATAACCCAGAGAGAACGGGAAGGAAGAAGCCACGGACACGCTGCCCATGCCCGTCACAGCACTGCCTCCCCAGTGCTCTGGGGACAAGAGCTGGTGCTCCACTGCCAGCCTGGAAGGAAAGAGGAGCCCTTTGCTCTTCCCAGCAGGAAAGGCAAGTTTCACCTCAGGGGCAATGCTGGTATGTCCCTTTGGGAATACCCACCTGCCCTCAGTGTGCATTCACTGCTCCAGAGCAGGTCTGCCCCTCTGTCCCAGCCTGGGGAGCCAGGGCAGAGACAAGCCCGTGGGAGCTGGGCACGGAGCTGGGCACGGAGCAGAGCTGCTGGGCACAGAGCAGAGCTGCTGCTCCTGCCCGGGAGCCTTCGCTCCCCAGAGCGAGCCTGGCACAGCCCGGCTCCCTGGCACACCACCAGCTGCAGCCACCATGTCCCGGCAGGGGAAGGGTGCCCGAGGAGCAGCAGGAAGGGCTGGGCTGAGGCAGGGCTGTGCCAGCCCGGTCCAAGTGCGCCATCTAGTCCCTGCTGAAAGTCGGGAATGGCCCGGGATGCGCAGGGAACTGAACCGAGCAGCGAGAGGGTTCCTCCCTCTGGAGACACAGAACCAGGGCTGGGCTTGCCTCACACCTGACCTGGGAGACAACAGCTTGAACAAAAGCCCGCTCTGCGCTGGAAAAGAGCTGCAGGTCTCCTGCGAAGCCCCCAGAGAGCGGAGGGGGAACTCGGAGCCGCTGCTCCGGCAAGGATGTGAGGAAGGGCCGGGCAGTGCTGAGCGCTGCTGCCTGCCCGCTGCTCGAGCCCAGGGCAGTGGGGCTGGCAGAAAGCGGCTGGAGCCCGTGCCCAGGGCTGGCACTGCACCCAGGCCGTGCCTGCTCAAGGCTGCTGCATGAACTCAACCCTTCTGCCCTGTGAACCAGCAGCTCTGGCAGCCAGGCCAAGCACCGCTCGGCCACTGACACCTGCAGACCCTCACCTCTGCTCTGCTCCCCTGCAACTGCGCCGGGAAGCAGCAAGAGCAGCAAGCGATCCAGACTTGCCCCAACCCAGCCGCTCTTTGCTGCTGAAGCCACTTAAGCAGAAGAAGCAGGTTAACAGTGCCGTGGTGCCCCGCCAAAGCCCGTGCCATTAGCTGTTTAAGAATCACTTGATGTAGACAGGGAAAGGCTCCCAAAGAGCTTTACTGTTGTGGTTTGCTAAGATCATTTTATTTCAGCCCTCCAGGGAACAATCCAATCACGAGCTCTAACAGCGTTTCGGGTGGAAGAAAGTTTCCCAAAGCTCAAAGGAGATGTGACTGCTCCCTGGAACAGAGAGAAGACTGTGCTCTGCTTTCAAGGTCAGATTAAGGAGGGCAAAAGCTGCTCACTGGTGGCTGCAAACAGAGTATTTGGGGCAGTGTTCTGAGAAGCTAAATATTTGCATCTGTCCCTGATGTTAATGCTATTTACCCTTCTCCTCTGCTGACCACTGACATGTCGCAACACAAGGGGGTGGAGAACACGTTAACACACAACCTGGATGGTGCCTGTTCAAGGCCATCTGGTGGAAGAAGAACATGTGCTGTGAAAGAACTAAGGGCAGCACTGTCGAGAGCAGTGAAGTGACCTCTGAGTCCAAGGGGACTTGGTTTTCAGCGGGATCTGAACATTTCAGTGCCTTGCAAAACACTGCACAGGGGTTTCAAAATGTTTCCAGCTGAGCTAATGCTTTAAAGGCTCAACTGAATCCTTCAGGTTTAGAATAGTGAAAACCTGCCCAGGTGAGATGTGCAGACACCCCCTTGCCAAGAATGAGATTTATCGTGTTTGCACAGCCAAGAAGACCACCTGCTGTTTGAGGTGCTGTCAGAGGACATTACTGGCCCTATATTAGAACTGTTGATGGCTGTGGAAGCTATTATTGAGGCTACAAGTGGACTTTCCAGGCTGAGGTATGCAAAAGGAGTCTCAGTGCACAGCCTGTCACTGCTCACACCCACTGTTCCTTGGGAGCACTGAGAGAAGCACAGCTGGCCAAGGCTCTGGAGCACGATCTGCACCCACCCCAGCGTCACCCTGCCTGCAACAACCCCCAGTCTGAGCCCCTGTGAGCCCCTGAGGAGCCACTCCCTTACCCAGGTGATGACCTGTACAAAGGGGGATCCAGAAAGCTCTTCCAGTTTGAGGTAAGAAGCAGGAGCACCCACCACACGTAGTGCCCAGCTGGTTAGCAGAGAAGAAACTATGCAAAAGCTCCTAAGAAAATGTTAGCAAGGCCATGGTTAGTGTGTTCATGGACTGAGAAAGTACAAGCACATTCTACCCACTTCCTACAATTTGTTTAGAGCAGACACAGAGAACAGAAGTTCCCAGCCTGAGAGCTAATAATGCTTCCCTTATTGAGCAGACTATTTTAAGGCCTGATGCTAAAATTAGCAGCTAGAGGTACCCGTAATTCCAGCAAGCTCACTTTGTTTGAGGCATCAGAGTTGGATGTTTACTGCATGTCCTGATACAAAAGCTGCTGCACTGGCACCCAAGGCCACGGAGGAGACTCTCCCACCTCCAGCACCCAGCAGGGAGGGGAACCCCTCGGCACTCACTTGGCAGGTTAGTGTGGATCGCATGCTGGTGCACACTAAGCAAAGGAATTTAGCAGTTCCAAGAGTTTCTGGAGAACCTACTGCTCAACCAGCTACCCATCTGAGGGGAATCCAGCTTTGCAAGCACCCAGCAGTGCCAGAGGAGTAATTGCCTGCAGTAACCAACACCCAGAGGAACAGGAGAAGTGTTGAGCCTTCGCAGTAAAATCAGCAGTGGTGCCCTGATGAGGCTGCTGTGTTTGAATCAGCTCTGGAACAGCCCAAGGTGAGCCTTGTGGAGGTAGGAAGGGCAAATGTTAACAGTGGGAGTTACCTCTGCACAGCTTCCTGGTCCGGCTCCCCATCGGAGCTCTCCTCGTCCACAGGGGTGACAGCTGGGACAGCCTGTGGAGAGAGAGGCCACAGCTCAGGAGCACACCCAGCACAGGGGACACCTGATCTTCCCGAGCAGGCTTCCACAGGGGTGTGTGTTGGCTCCTCTGCAGCACCAAGAAACCTGGCCAAGAACCCCTTCCAACATTCCTTCCCCAGCCCAACTGCCCGGGCAGGGCCGCTGCGACTCGGAGGATTCATTGATACAGACGGGAGCGAGAGCACGCCCCAACGCCTGAGAGGGACACTTGGGTTCTCTCCATGGGATCAGCAAAGGACAAAATCAACCATTAGAAAGTGCACAAACACCATGAGCTCCAGAGAGGAACGCACAACCCCACGTGCCACCTCTGGGAGAGCAGAGCAAGCCCTGCACAGGGGACAGGGGAACTTTGGCAGCGCTGGGCCCGCTGTGACCCGGGCACAGGGATATTCCGGAGCTCTCTGCCCTCCCTGTGCTACTCACTGGCGTCATGGTGACGAGCGGCGAGGGGCCGCGGGGCCGCTTGAGCAGCTGCTGCGCGTGCAGCTGGATGTTGGCCCCGCCGTCGGACGCGCGCCGGCCCAGCGGGCCCATCCCGTTCAGCAGCTGCAGCGTGGGGGGCTGCAGCAGGGACTGCTCCTGCAACACACACACACACACAGCACGTTACCCACCCCGGGGCAGAGCAGCCCTCTGGGCCTCAGGCATGGCACCAGCATCCAGAGAGATGTGGGGCAGGGTTTAACCTGCAGCTCCCTGTCCCTGCACGCTGCTTTAGCTGCCAGGCAGGCCGCAACCTGCAGCTCAAAGTCCTATTTCTCCCCAGCCCATTTACTCATTTCGTATTGCACTGCTCTTTTGTTCTTCGGCTTTTTCACAGAGTCACAGAATAGTTTGGGCTGGAAAAGACCTTAAAGATCATCTCATTCCAATGCCCTGCCATAGGGAAGGACACCTTCCACTGTCCCAGGTTGCTCAGAGCTCCATCCTGCCTGGCATGGACACTTCCAGGAATGGGATATCTGCAGCTTTTCAGGGCAACCTGCTCCAGTGCCTCACCACTCTCACAGTAAAGAGTATTTTCCTACTATTTGGTCCAAACTTACTTTAGAGAACCAAGTGGAATCGTACATAAAGAGAGTAATTCTTGAGGCAGTGCAAGGAGTGACAAACAGAGGGAGCACAAGCAGCCCTCCCAGCGGGCAGGGCACAGAGCACAGCAGGGATCGTGGCAGTACCTTGTACTCCAGCTGCCCTGTGGGCTGCAGGTTCTGCCTGGGCAGCACACTGTGCATGAAGTTCACATTCGGGGTCACCTGCAGGAACGGAGCCTGAGGAGTGACACGGGGGAAGCCAGGCAGGAGCTTCTGCAGGTCTTCCATGACTTCCGTCCTGTACAATCACATTGGGAGAGGGGAATTGGCCATGATGTGAGGAAACCCCTCACAGACCCAGCACACCCAGCTTCCCTTCACAAAAAGCTTCTTACTGCTCTGGCAAATGCTCACACAGAGCAGCCAAGCCACTCTTTGGTTTTATTTGTCCCTTTTTTCCCCTCCATGTTGAGATTTGGCAGAATTAGCTCTTGGGCATTAACCTCGATGGCATTTATCACAAAAACTTCACCTTGGACATGACAGCAGTGCAGCTCGGGTGAGACACCTGCCTTGACCAAAAGCACAGCTCACCCAGAGCTGATCAGGAAGAGCAGGAGGAAAGTACCTCACTCCCATCTAAAATACTGACCAAGCTGTGCAGGGGGACTGGCACCTTAAAAGAACACCCAGAAGGACCAGAGTCACCTGCTGGGAGTGAGTGTCCAGGTTGGAGCACAGTACTCACCGTGGGTCAGCTACTCCCACTGTGTGCCTCCTCATGGAGAGGTAGCGGACCAGAGCCTCGGGTGATGGTTCCTCCCCTTCATCACTGTCCAAGTTCATTGTTCCATCAGTCTGGGCAGGACAAACAGTGGAGATGTTGAAATGTAACATGAGGATCAAAGGAAAGGCTTCAATGTGAACCAGAAAAAGAGCTTGCAGGGGTCATGGGGATGTGCCTCACCTCCACAATTTGGTTCTCAGGGTTGATGAGCTGGACTTGGGGCACGTTGATGTTCATGGTGTTGCTTGTCTGTTCTGTCTGCTGAGTGGAGAGAACAGGGTCAGAAGACACAAACACAGCATTGTTTTACAAATACTGCTGGATTAACACCAGCCCTAAGCACCTGGAACAGCAAGGTGACCCTGGAGCCAGTGAAGAGCGGTTTATTCTCAAGAGGTTGCCTCGTTTACCCCCTTTCCTTCTGTTCAGGCAGTGTCAGCATCTCTTCTGCTTCCCTGATGACCTGGCCTCTCCCAAAGCAAGTGCTCATTGCTGCATCAGCAGCACAAAGTGGGGAGGAAGCATCACACAGCAGCCCTGGGCTGGGAACTCCAGCTCCCAAAAACTCCCTCAGTTCCTTCCCCCATGCCACTAAGCAAGCAGAAGACTGTCTGAAGGATGTTTAGCCGATGCACAAAGTGTTGCTAACCTCAGGATTAGGGCACCCTAAACACACACCAAATTCTCAGCTGAGGAACATTTTGCCACTCCAGCCAGGGTGTGGACACCCACGAGCAAGGGGGAGGTAAGGGGGCGGCTGGCCTTGCAGGGCTGGAAGAACTGGCCAAGGGGACGCACCTGGATGCTGGCCGAGGTGGGGAAGGTGACGGTGCGGGGGATGCTGGGCGAGGGCGCGATGCGCAGGTTCTTGTGCCTCTTGAGGCGGTCGCAGAGCAGGCTGTAGATCGCGCTGTAGTGATCGTAGGCGTCGGCTCGCAGCGACTGCAAGGCAAAGCACAGCCGTCACTCCCTCCTGGGCACTGAGAAATCCATTTTATACTGTGCTGGGGTATAAAACACAGCCAGAGATGGCAAGAGGAGCAGGCAGGACACGGCAGGGCTCACCTGCACCGTGCGCTCCTTGTCCAGCCCCATGTCCGCCATGGCCAGCAGCACGTCCTCGTTCAGCGGCTCCAGCTGCCTCTCAGTCTTCAGGTGCTGACACTCTGCTATCAGCTGTGAGGGCACAGGCACACAGTCAGTCAGAGCTGGCATTCCCAGAGGCACACTGGTGAGTCACGGTGCTCCCAAGAGCCCCAGCACCGGGCTCTGGCTGCAGCTGGCGTGAGGTCTGATGGCAACCGATGCAAAATCCACTGCCCCGAGCTCCCAGGGCCACGGGGGAAGATACAAAAATGCACGCAGATAAGGAGTGATGTGGAAAGCAAGGCCAGGAGACAGAGAAAAGGAAAGGCCATGCCTGGGAATGAGTGTTCCCAAGGAGCAGAACCAACACTGCAGCACCACGTGCCCAGAGCCCGTTTGAGTCACTGAGCAGACCCTGCTCGCTGCTGCTCACCCTGTCGAACTCTGCATCAGCCTCCCCCAGCTTCATCCACTTGTGCTTGCAGATCTGCTCCATGGAGAGCCGCTTGCTCGGGTCCAGCACCAGCATGTGGCGGATCAGGTGTTCACACTCTGCCAGGGAAGAGAGGGGGTTACCCGCGGGGAGGGCACGGCTGCTGCAGCGCTGCCTTTCCAAGCCCCCTCTGGGAAGTAACCCGCAGGAACAGTGCTCCTCCTCTGCACTTCCCACCTGCGGGGTCCCCAGCGCGCCTCACTGCTGCAGACATTGGTCCCTGTGCTAGGAAGGAGGGAAGCCACCCTGGCCACGCAGAGCCCTGTCACCCTGTCCCTCCCCAGCTTGATGTGAGTGGCTTTTGGAGGTTGAGAGCAAAGGACCCACAGAATGTCCTCCACTCCGCAGCTGTGCCATCGCATTCCACATGTGCTGTCACCAAGAGGGACTGCTGAGGCTCTCCTGTTTAGGCTGGCATCTAAGCTTGCTTTGAAAGCTCCACGTTTTAGCAGAAATTTCTGCATGGAGAGAACCTCTTCCCCAGATAAGACAGCAAGCAAGGAAATCTTCAGCTGGGAAACTCCATGCAAAATTGTTCCTTAACCTGACAGCAGGCAACCAAGTACCTACACGTGACTCTTTGTTAAGCTGATCAATATGGAAATTAATCACACTTTTCACACTCCAGATTTATTATTAAAGTGTTCTCGCAGCAGCAGGACACAAACACTCATCTCTGACGGGGCTGTTGCTGGCAATTCCTGCCCCATAACGCTGTAAAAAGCTGAAACCGAGGAGGTGTAGCGCAAACCCGAGTGCCCCTTACCCGTGGACATGAAGAAGGGGATGCGGAATTTGCCGCTGAGCACCCGCGCGCGCAGGTTCTGCAGGGTGCTCCCGTCGAAGGGCAGGGCCCCGCACACCAGCACGTACAGCACCACGCCGAGGCTCTGCACCCAAAACAAACCCAGTCAGCAACGCCAGACGGGATGGAAACCCAGCTCTGGCCATGCACGCTTCTGGCACCTCCCCGCAGGGAAAATACAGGATGCAGTGGCCAGAACGCAGCTCTGGAAGCGTTTCTTTGGAAAACTCTTTTTGCTGTGTCAGGGATTTTCTCCAAGACATGTACTGAGAACTCAGGAAGCAAAGCCAAACAAACAGAGCAAAAACCAGATCAAAGTCAGAGAGAAAGAGGCTCATCACATACCCAGATATCAACCTTTGGCCCATCGTACTCCTTGCCTTCAAAGAGCTCTGGGGCAGCATAGGGAGGACTCCCACACCAGGTTTTAAGGAGCTGGCCAGGGGTGAAGATGTTGCTGAACCCAAAATCTGAAAGAACAAAGAGAAGAGATGAGAGGAATGTGATTCACTCCAAGTGTCTTGAACAAATGGTATTTCAGTAACTTGCTGAGTCTGCTAAGGTCACGTACCATCCTGTAATGGGTAACTGGTAGATGGACACTGCAAATGGAATCACTGAGGTTAGAAAAGACCTCCAGGTCATCAAGTCCAACCTGTGCCCGATCCCCACCTTGTCACCAGCCCAGAGCACTGAGTACCATGTCCATCTTTCCTTGGACACCTCCAGGGGAGGTGACTCCAAACCTCCCCAGTGCCCTGAGCTCTGGGCAGTGCCAGCAAGGACACAGTGCAACGGGAAAAAGAATGGGAATTTTGATTTTTCCAGAAAGCACTACAGGGTCATGGTGGGCAGCTCTACCAACAGTCAAATCCTTCACCAAGAGCAAATAACAAATCCTCAAAGAGAAAGGTCTTCACCTCGCAGGCAGCCAGCCATCATCTTATGTGGGCACTAATGGCATTCTCTGTTAATTAATCTGCCTCCCCCTGGCTCACAGCTGGGACCTGCACTGCAAAGGGCAAGGAAACCAGTCCGGATCCAAGAGAAGGGAGCTGGTGCTCATAAAAAGAAAGAAATTTCCTTCCTTTTTTTCTTCTCAATTGAATTGAAGCAACCACAGTCCCAGAGAGGAGTTCTGAGGTGTCCACATGTTTTTTCTAACACATTCAAGATTACCCAATACTACCACTTAATTACCAATTCATTACCACTTCCACACCTACTTCAAAGTGAGGATCACCAGTGATGCCAACAGCTCTGTGCCAGAGGCAGGAAAATCCCACCAGCACTCCCCAGAATGCACTAACTGGTGAGTCTATGCTCCCTCTTGCTGCTCTCCTTACAGGATTTTCCATGACCTAATTTCAGGTGACTCCTCTCCTCTTTTGCACAGCATCTGCAGAACCCAGCAGACCACCTGGCACTGCTCCTGCCAGCTCAGCTCCAGGGGGACACAGCTGAATTCCTTCTCCCTGTCCCTTTGCAGGGAGGAAATTCTCACTGTGGAGATGATTTATGCATGTGGAGAATACTTAACGCAGGCTGTTCTGTGGAAACACCTGGAGTACACACAGCAGGCTGCTCCAACCCCACCTCCAAACAGAGCAGAGATGGTAAATGTTCTTTAAAGGCACCGTGGAATCAAAACAAGGCACTTACACGCCCGTTGGGTTTTTACTGTTGGCAGTGAAGCCATCTAAACTTCCAGTCAGCCTTTGGAGGACAATTCCAGGGAAATAGCACACAGCTGCACAATTGTCTTTTCCACCTCTGCAAGCTTTTGAGCTGCTGTCTCACGTTCCAAGCAGGATGTGTAACAAGTGCCTGAGTTACGGCCACCGGAGCCAGCAATAAACCCTGCAGCACTGGATGTATTTCCCAACACACAGCATTTGTAGCAGGTTTAGACATAAACTCCTTCTGACGGTGGAATTTTGGCACTTCCCATATATTGAGCAAGTTATCCTAGTTTAGTTACTTTTATTTGTCCTTGTAAGTACACAAGTGGGCTTTGAGCACCTGGTGAACCACCTGTAATTTCCAAGGAGTGCACAGCCGGGAGCAGCCCCAGCCCTGCTCAGGTGAGAGGCCCGAGGTGCTCCCCACTCTGCTGCACAGGTCACAGCGAGTGTCAGCAGCAGGGGCAGGGCTGTGCCATTCCAGGGCCGTGCCATTCCATGCCATTCCAGGGCCGTGCCATGCCAGCTGGCAGCACCGCAGCCTCGGAACAGACACGCAACAGCTGCCGCCTGCACCCTCCTCTGCTTCCTGCAGATTGGTCAGCTGGGAAACTTCACCCCTTCCTCATGGTGCTGAAATCCATCCAGGGATTCACAGCCCTTCTGGACAGGGAGAGGAGTGGGAGAAGGGGAAATGCAGGCTCTGTTCCTAAGGGGGCCAGCGGGTCGCAGCTCTGCGCCCGCCCCGGCTCTCGGGTGAAAGCTCTCTCCATGGGCAGGGATGTTGCTGTGCCCAGCCCTGCGGGCTCTGCGGGGAGCTGGAGCCAGCACATCCTCCCCAGGACACTGCTCCCAGGCTGGGAACGGCCTCCACATCCCACCTGCGCTGCGGGACTGAGCTCAAGGCTGGGGAAAACAGCTTTGAGCTCAAAAAACTCAAAGAAAGTTCACGGGAGGACTTGAAAACCCTGGAGCAGCTAAGCACAAAATCTAAACCAAACAAAAACACAAATTACAACTTAAATAAACTTTCTTAAAATCTATGGCTAAGGAGATGCTCCCAAATCCTCAAGGAGCAATCAGGTCACATTCCACATACAGACAGAGAGGGAAAGAGGCATTTTTGAACAGCAAGGTGAATCACAATGGTGTGATACAGGGAAAATATTTAAAACAAACATCTCTGCTACAAAACAGTGGGTCCAGTCCCTCAAGTTTCCTTGGAGTGGAGCTCAGGGAGTGGCTTCAGTCCCTGCCCAACAGGGATTTCATCCTCAGGAGGGGAAGGAGCAGCTGACTCCTGCAGACGAATGCAGAGCGATGCATAGATCAGATTCCTCTGCGAAACCATACCCGGGAAGGCCGGGGTGTTTAGCAATCATCAACTCCTGGCTGAACTCTCTGGCTGGGAGCACAGGGGACGCAGTGCCAGCAGCTACTGACTCAGACTCTCAGAAGGTACACTGGAGAAAAAGCATCCATGGGAAAAATGAGAGCGAGGGTCACAGCACCGGGATCTGCCTGTTTACGGAAAAACGGCGGGGCAGCAATCCATCACAAAGCAACCCAAACAGGGAGCAGCGCTGAGAACAGCAGCACTGCCCACCCTGCCAGGCAGTGAACACCCCTGACAGCAGCAGCACTGCCCACCCCGGGCTGCAGGCTGACCGCAGCCTAATGCCAGGCAAGGGATTTAAAGCTGCAAATGGATGCCAGGCAGAAAGTGCCAGAACACCTGCAGTGATGAGAGTCTGAAAAGCTCCAAAGTTTGAGTTAGACACAGGCTGGCCCAGTAAGTGAAGCTTCAGCTGGTTCTCCACTGGTATAACTGGTGTGTGCATTTCTGTAGCATTTCTCCTGGGAGATCTGGTGTGAAGCAGATCTGTTGCTATCACTTTTTTCTTCTCTTGAAACAATGGAAGAACTGGGGTCAAGTTGTAATTGATGAGTTATAGGGAGAAAACTTAATACTTGGAAAATCCTATACATAAATCAGCTTTTCCAGGCTCCTTTTCAAAGCACTACAGCATCTTCCTGCCAAGGCAAACTCTGCCACCACCAGGGTGGGGACTATCTCCTGGAGTCATTCTGGGAGCACAGATTTGGAAGGAAAATAGTTTCCAACTCCCTCAGATAAAAAAAGGTTTCCACAATTTCCAGAGCTTCTCAGCCTGCTTATGTGGACATTTCTGCAGCAAATCCAGCTGAACTCCAGTTTCTACCTGGGTTAGTTTTTAACTTCTCGCTGTTTGCCAGGCAAACACCCTCCCCCTGCACACAGAGCGGATTTTTCCCGTGAACACAAGATGGCCTCAAACCATTATTGCAGCCTTTGCATGAAACACCAGAAAGTGCTGCTCAGAGACCTCCCCCAGCAGCCTCTCCCTGAGCTCCACAACCCCTCCACAGCTCCAAGGAGCTGCTCTCCTGCTTCACCAGCGATGCCTCTGTCACTTATCTCCTGCTCCCAGAACAGTGAGGGGCAGGTTATCACTCCTGTGCCAAGGAGGACATGGTTCACACTGTTAAGCACCAGAGGGAAGTCCGTGAAGTCCATCTCTCCTTCCTATTCCTTCCCCACTCCCTCCTCACAGATGGAGTGTGAGGGAAGAGTAAGAAATTACTGATGATTTTACCACAAGCCGAGAGTTGAATTCTAATCTAAAACCTCTGGACAGTACACAAGAAAACAGCAACAACGAGCTAGACTGTTTCCTTTCTTCAAGATGCTATCTGCTATCTAGACAGAGGAGTATTTCCCACCTCCCAGAAGTAAAATTGCCCAGACTGAAAAGTTTTGTAGCCCTCAGCACTTAAAAAAAAAAAAAAAAAAAGTTACAAACCCTTGCAAAAGACAACAATCTCACCCAGGATGTCTGCTGGGAGAGGGAGAAACCAAGAGTTTCTAAAGGTGCTCTGCTGTGCTCTAGGTTCTGGGAGGATTAAACGCTGAGTACAAGATCTACCACTTCCAAAGCCCATGAAATGAGATGAACAGGGCAGAATCACAGAATATTCTGAGTTAGAAAGGACCCACAAGGATTGAGCCCAACTCTTAAGTGTTAAGTCAATTGGTCATAATCCCACCAAGCCAAATAAAGTCGAGCCAGTGTCCCCCAGAGATGAGCCAAGGCTCAGCCTCCTGCTCAGAGGATCACAGGCATGCATGGGTTAGTCAGGACAGAAATGCCCATGTAGGAAGCTCTCTGGAAGGGCAGTTAGTGACAAAAAAATCCCACTGCCCTGCAAAACTCTGGGAGCAGGCAGTGAGAGCCCATGTGCTCAGCTGCTTCAGCGTCTCTCCCTGCAGGGAATAAAGCCCCAGAGTCCTGAGGCCACTCAGGGAATAAAGCCCCAGAGCCCTGAGGCCACTCTGGCTCTGTCCCACCACATGGAGAACGACTCCAGGAGCGCAGTGTCCCCTTCACTGCTCCACCACCCACCTTGTCACCCCTGCTTTGCCATTCCTGCTCTCTCACCTAGCCTGACCTGCTCTGAAGAAGCCCCGAACCAGCAGAGGACTCAGAACAAGGTCAGTTTTGGGGTACTGTCTCACCCACCAGCCAGAGGAGTGAACGCTGCAGTGTCTGCAGCCTGGGAAGCCAAACCTGCCTTTTTCTCCTTCTTTTACTTCGCACTACTTGAAGGGAGGTATAAATCTCCTGGCTACAACCTGGCAGTTCCAGCTCTGGGCAGCAGGCCACACAGAAATCCAAAGCTTCCTTTAGCTGCACCACGTTTCCTTCTCCCTGAATACCTGGAAGCAGCCAGTGCCTACATTTATTAACTCCTGAAAGCAGCTGCCTTCCTCCCACACCGCTCAGCTTAGCTCACCTGCTATTTTGATGTTCAGGTTTGCATCCAGGAGGAGATTTTCTGCCTTCAGATCCCTGTGGACTATGTTACGACAGTGACAGAAGTTGACAGCAGCCACAATTTGCTTGAACTTTCTCCGGGCTTCCTTCTCGGCCATGCGCCCGTGGGCCACGAGGTGATCTGTGAGGTGAAGGAGAACACAGGTTATGGACACAGGGGCTTCTCGTGCTCCTGGAGAGAGCTGGGGAGTGGGAGCAGTGTGGGCACAGCGTGGTTTCCAGCTCCAGCAGCACTCATGGCAGAGGCACAGGCACACCACTGGTTCCTCACCTGGGCTGGCTCTGAGGAAAAGGCTTTGACATTAATTTTATATAGAGGACAGCTGAGGGGAGGTCTGGAAAATCAGAACTGTTCTGTACACAAGGGCAAAGGTTTTAAGATCTTTTTCTACATGAAAATAAAAATGAAGCTTTTCCAGCCTTTGCCCTCAGTCAGACCCAAGCCCTGTGCCACATCACCTCGAGAGGTGCAGCTTCCTGGCCACGTGGCATCCTTCCTTCCCCTGGGTTTTGACAGGAAACCTGTCTATGGTCTAACATGCCTCGAAGGTAACTCCTGCTGGACCCAGCGAGCTCCCAGGTAGTCACAGCCACAAGCAGCTGCTCACCTGAGCTCTCCAGCCAGCACAGCCACCACCACTGCAGGCGGGATTTAACATCCTCCCTCTCTCTGCATCAATGCAACAACATCCTTGCGAAATCCAAGAAAGCATTTCATTACAGAAATGGAACTGGCCTCCACTACGGAAATCTGAGCACTCCCAAATATTTTGCTGAAAGGCTGTACTCTCTCTCAAAGGTAGTGTTTGTTGCCAGCTGGGCTTTCCTTGGAAGCCAGCACCGCACACACGGACAGGAAAAGCCTCTCCAAGAGATCACAAAGGCAGGCACACAGCAGTGACCCAGCTGAAGTTCAAGCCACTTAAAACCTGGAAGCCCCAGGCTCACTGAAGCCACTTGTCACTGTCCCACGATAGGGATGGACAGGCAGGAGACAGGCAGCAGAAAGGGCAGAGAAAAGAAGCCTCACTTCAGGAGTTGTAGCTCCTTGGTCGGGCCATTGAGTTGGCTTCAAAACATCTCTGGCCAAAATTAGGCGGAAATTATTCACATCCCTCCCTAAACTCCATTAAACAGGGGCTTTAATACAGATATCTGTTCTTGAAAATAATAACAATAAATCACTTGTTCAGGTTTCTCATGAGGTGGTTGTGTTTTTCCCCAGTCACCCATTCATTAAAATACCTGTGACATAATTGACTCACAGTAAATACTAATTACCAAGATCCATCAAAGCAGTTGTGCTGCTCCTGACTGCACAGCAACCTACTTCTGCCTTTGCCCACTCATGTTGTGCAACAGACTCGAGGTGTTTTCCAAAGAACTTGTCAATTAACTCTGTTCATCGGATAAACTTATTCTGTAAGCAAATCTGAACCAGGGCTGGAGAAGGAAAACCATCACCAAGCCAAATCTGACCCTCAGCTCACTCGCTGGGCAAAGCAAAGTCACCATCTCAAATTGCCCCATCGTATTTCATGAAGGCATTTGCACGGTCATAAATCTGTTACTCTAAGGAGACTGACAGCAGAGCACAGCAAGGGCTGCTCCAATTTAAGCCACTGATCAACAGGTAATAGCTCAGCTCCTAAACAAGGTCATTCACACCTTCTGCTCGCTGGGATTTGGGAGCCAGCCTGTCCATACAGCAAGTGCCCATGAAACACAGTACAAGGCTCCAATCTCGCAAATATTTCCGAAATATTTTAGCAATTCTCCTGCAGGCAAGAAAGCAAACCCAGCTACTGCAGCAGGTGTTTTTCTGCAAGGCTTTCCTAAGTGTATTTCTGCCCAAACCAAGTTCACCAGTCCCGGCACAGCCGGTGACACCTGCGTTCGGTGCTGGCACTTGGGGCACCCCCTGCCCCTCACCCAGAACACTCTGCTGCCCCTCTGCCCTGCTTAGGCTGCAAGAAGCCCTTTTTAGGTTGGGCTGAAATTTCAGTTTTGATGAAGAACTGGGAGCGGAGGCCCAGGCTCTGCACGTAGGCACCGCGCTCCGAGCCCACTGACATTTCTGCACCAGCTCCAGAGGAAGGACACAAACAATGAGGCTACAGAATACTTCACATACCACCAAGGGCAACTGCATGCCAAAATTAACCATTGAGAGCTTAGTCTGCACAAACCTCCCATGCAGTGGAGGGTGCAGAGCTGACCTGAGTGCTGAGCTGGGAGCCTGCACCCTGCTCTGAGCGTGCCAGAGCACCCAGGGCCTGGCTGGGCTGTGCTGCTGTCACTGCGCTGCTCTGCACAGTGGTGCTCCTCTGGGTGTGTTCCAGAGGGGAAGGAATGCATCATTTCATTGCACAGCCCCTACTGACATCAGTCACTGCTCCCTGTACTTACAGCACCTGACGCTGCTCTCTGAGTTAAAAAAACAATCCAATCCTACACTGGGGAAAAATCACCTTTGAGTTAAAAAAACAATCCAATCCTACACTGGGGAAAAATCACCTTTGGTTCAGAGAGCACTGACACACAAGTTTCCACTCCCCACCTCTGGACAGACTCCTCATGCTTTTAAGCTGCTTTCTGTCTGGAAAACAAACGCTGATGAAGCTTCACATCTCCTCTGTGTGGGGGATTAAGTCACATTTCCAGTGAATTTGGTGACCTTGTGATGTCAGAAGCAGTCTGACCTTCTGGAGACAGGCACCACAACATTGTTTAATGTGTCTGCCCAGTTCAGGCTCACAGTGCTCAGGACAAGCGGGCGGGCGGTGGGGAGACAGGGCAGACGTGGTAACCACATCAACCAGATGATAATTTTCTAAATTTCCTGTGATTTTTTTTGATAATCAACCAAGAACTCTTATTCCGTCAGTGAGGACTGGAGATTATTTACAGTTTTCGTAGTGAACAGCTGAAAGCAAACCAGATTTTTAGACTATATTCCATCTGACCTCAAAAAAAGGACACTCAAGGGACCTGGACTAGAGACCACCCTATGTTTAAAAGGAGACATTCATTTCTTCATAAAGTCAAACCAGCGACCCAACCACACGCAAAACACGGACAGGGACAAAAATAACAATTTACATTTGGCTGCTCAAGCCCACAGCAAACCCAAGGCCTGTCCCTGGTCCCTGCGCGCCGCTACGCAAACAAAATGAATTATCAAACCCTTTCCAGTAAGAGATGAATCAAAGACTCTCAGGGCACAGCCTGGCCACTGCTCAGCCCTTTCCTGGAACTCTGGGTGCAGGGCTGGTGCAGCCTCCCAGGTGCTGAGGCGGGATCCCTGGGGGCTGACACGGGCAGGACAGGCCAGGCACGGCCAGCCCGACTGACCGCGGCCATGCAGAGAACCCACGGCTCCTGCAGCTGAAAGCTCCGGCCTCTAGCACTGCCTGAGGAACACCAACAGCTCCTCGGGACTGGTTAAGCCTTGGGAAGGTCTGACAGCATCAGAGAAGCAATCTGTGCTCCTTACAAAAACCTGCACTTCACAACAGCATAATGCTGCAACTCTGGTTCTGTGGAGCTGCACTCAAATGCCCCATGGCATTTGGAATCCAGAAAACCACAGCTATCAGCCCCCTTTACCCTCCAGCACTACGTTTTGAAGCCTGCATTTGTCATGCAGGTGTTAAGACATGACCAAAAAAAAGATTGAAGAGACTCAGCACAGGCCCATTGCACAGAGAACCCCCGTGCCCAGCAAGAGGCACGGTGCCAGTGGTTGCCCTGCCCACACACACCTCACCCACCATCCCTGCAGCACATCAGCCATTCCCAACACGCCCAGCTGCCCCAGGAGGGACAGGCCTGAGAGGAGGCACCGTGCAGGTGAGGTTCTACCCAAGGGGAGAGCCTGGCTGCCCACGCTGCCATCGACTTCGTCTCCACCACGCACGGACAGGAGACCCTTCAGCGCTGGAGATGCAAGGACTGCAAGGAAACCTCCCCAGAATGGGCTCCTGCTTCCTCCCTGCAAATTGCTTCCGCTGCTAGAACAAAGTCTTAATGGCTCCTCAGGAAACTCTCAATACAAAAAGCTGAGACGTGAGCTTTCCCCTCTCTGCTCTCGCACTGAGGGCAGTGCCCAAAAACTCTCAAAACTGGGTAGAGAGGCATGACCTCCTGGCTTGGGTCTGCAGAAGCCTCACACTATTACAGAGCTGGCTGCTCCCAGCTATCAGAGAGGATAAAATGCTGGGCAGCAACATGGAAATTAGCCATGCTAATGAGCTGAATTTACTACAGCAGAAAATCTTTCATAAAGCAATTAGGTTTTCACTTCGACTCACGCAGAAGGCTATTTTTGTAACCAGAGAATTCATTCCAAGTTTGTATGTGAGCTTGCACATAGCTCTGGATTTAAAAAAAGATGAGCCCATCCCTGCCAAATTCAACAGAAGAGGGAGAAAAAGTAAAAAGAGATTTATAATTTTCTGTGGTGATACACACCCAAGCCAACTCCAGGACACGTGCAGGTGATTTTGCTGTGCATGGGAAGGTGAATTTCACAAGCCTTTGGAACTGCTGAGTGTGTCCAGCACCATGATTCACATTTGAATAAACAACTGGAAGGCTCAGTAAGTCAGTTTTTCACCAGGCAATCCACACTTCCCAAACATCAGCTGTCACTTGCTTCCCCTTCGGCTGTCACCTTCTGAGGGAGAAACCCAAAGGACATGGACAATATTGACAAGAAGCCATAGCAACCATCTACAGAGGTACTGAGGAACTGGGGGCAGTTTGTAGTGGCTGGAAACCAGCACTTTTCAGCTTTTATTTTCCTTAATGTGGGGCTTCTCTTGCTTCACCAAAAGCTTCGTCTTTTACTACAACTCAGCTTCTCCTCCAGAGAAATGAGAAGTAAAATCAAAAGTGAATCTTCTGCAATGGCTGATGAGGACAGGGGGAGTGTTCCTAGGAGCTGACAGGCCACGTGTGACCGTCCTCACTTCCTTAACTGAAGCTAATTCAAGCACACAGGATTTTCCCCCTTTTTGGAGGCTCATATTGGCAAAGCCAGTACAGACCAATGTTGCAAAATCCCAGCTCTGTCACTCAGCACAAAATCCCAGTGTATAAGTAAATTCCTGTTTCTATAAGTTTTGCTATTGTTCACCAGACAAATGAATAAATCAGCCCACAGTTCTTTCAGTTGTGCTGCACAGATACTTCTTTCCCTTTCAAGAACAGCTCCTGTGGTCAAGAACACTCAGCCAAAACTCTCTGGGACAATGGTGCTTGGAAGGAATGTAACCAATGCTTGCTAAGATAACATCAGATATCAAAAAGAAAAGACAATACATGGTTTTGAGCGCAAAACCCTCCAGAACTGCAGGACTGCCTGTTTCTTGGAAAGCTGCTGACACATCCCAAGAGTTCCACTATCATCAACAAGGTTCATATAACTTGCTGGGGAGCAAAGCACTCAGCAACACTAAAATCCAACTGCATGACAATTTCCAACATCTTTAATCCCAAAGTGAGCACGAAAGAGGAGCAGCACCACCTGTCAATGAAACCCAAAGAAGAAACAGAGGTTATGGGGGCTATTTTTCCATCGAGTTGGTCTCATTTATTCCTTTACTCCTCTTGTCAATGGAAAGTTTGCAGGCTGAAGGGCACCTCTCGGCTGAAACAAGAGAGTGTGGTGGCTATTTTCAGTCTGCTGTAGTTGACCAAGTGCATTATCTGATTAAAGAATGCAATAAATGTACTTACCAAATATTTCCCCTCCACTGGCATACTCAGTCACCAGATAAATCATCCGCTCCGTCTCCATAACCTGCACACAAGGACAGAGAAGTGACACATAAGGAGACTGCAGAGCACAACAAGAAATAGCTCTAAAACCACCTTTATTCCTTCTGTAACACACAGAACTGCTTTCATCAAATCCAAGCTATAACCTGCTCGTGCTTCCCAGAGCCACGTGTGGTGATGGACAGGAACTGAGGACAGTAAGGATGAAACAGCGAGTTTCAAACACTAAATCTGTAACCACACATTACACCTCACCTGCACTTTCCTCCTCCTGGCCTGTTTCCCCTCCCATTAGCATTTGCTCCCAGGTCTTGTCGTGTTCCAGCAGCCTGGGAGACTTCTCAGGGCTGCTGCCCTGCTCTTCTCCCACCCTAAACAAAGCCAAGCCCCAAGTGTCACCTCTTCAAAAACCTTAGATGGAATGGAACAGGTTTGAAAAGGTTTTTTGGCTCAAAAAAAAAAAAAAAAAGGTTTAAGGAGTAAGTTTGCAAAGAAGCACTCCCTGGGTACCTTGAAAGTGCCACAGTCCCCATAAGCATCTCACACATGGTTTGGCCAAAGGAGCTAAACATTAACCTCTGTCACTTCTACTCAGTTTTAACTCCTTGGAGTCCAAATAAATGTTCATATCTCTCAAGACCAGATCAGAAACAGAGTCCTTTGTTCCTCTGCTCCCATCACTCCGCTGCACCCTCCTCACAGAGAGGCACAACTGTCTACCTGTGTAAAGGGCAGAGCACGTGGCTTCTGCCTCCGGGGTTTTGTTTGCAGACAAAAAAACATCAAACAAGCTGGAAAAAAACTCTGTAAACAATATTCAAAGCGGGTCTGCTGGCAGTATTGATCCCTTTCCAGGAAAAGGCTGAGGGCCTGGGGGCCAGAGGGAGCTGGGCAGGGAGAGGAGAGCTCAGTCCTGCTCCCGGGTGAGATTTACTCCCTCCCTTCAAGTGAGAAGGGGAACCTGCATCCGGTTTCAACTGGGAAACTGAGAAGCACACAATGGCCATAAACAAGTGGCAGGAGGCCAGCCCACAGCGGAAGCATGATGTCCCAGAAAAGAGAAGGATTAGCTACACTTTCCCCCTGCCCCTCCAACCAAAGCACTTTGAGACCCTGGAAACATAAAGGGCTTTCCCAGTTCCATGTGGCAGGAATGGAGGGACAGCTCTGGAGGAAGTGCTACTGCAGTGTGGAGGCAAGGGATGGGAACCCCATGGCAGAATGCTCCTACCTGGTACAACCTGATGATATGTGGGTGGCAAAGCATCTTCATGATCTGAACTTCTCTAAATATCTTCTTCAGGTTCTCTTCATCCAGCTGAGTCTTATCAATGATCTTTATTGCAACCTGGCAGAGGGGAAACAGAGGAGAAGTTACTGACCCAGCTGCATTACCCACCCAGCAGCTCCCTGCACCAGGGCTGATAAACCCCAGCAGGGATGGGAATGGGGGGTAGTGTCAGGCTTCTAACAATTGAGGTGTTTATTTATCTGTTTTAAACTAGAAGTGCTCTGTAACGCTACACTAAAGGAGTTTAAACAAGTCTAAGTGCTTCCAGTCAGCTGCTCTCCAGTCTCCAAGATTGTCCCTCCACCTCCCTGGTGCTCCCAGCTCCTTTGGGCATGGACTGTAGAACCACCAGACTCCAAACGTGGAGACACTTCTGTACTAAGAATCACCTCAAGCCCACTGGGCACCCTGTTTCATCCACACACAGACAGCAGGGATGGGAATCTTTTCTGGAACGCCGGGATGAATAGGAGAGAAAAGGCAGAGTGAAATCTTGATGGAGGAAACAGCTGAGAGAAAAAACTACTCTGCCTGGCAGAGGAACATCTGCCCTGCTGCTTCTAAATCAAATTTCAGCCTTTAGGATCTTCCTCCCCACCACGAAACACCCCTGCGAGTGAGCAGCTCATCTCAGCATTTGTGGGATGAGTTACCATGCCCCAGCAGGTTTTCTCACTCAGAGGCTGTCCCTGGGAAAAGAACCGCTTCTACTAATCTCCTGGTTGCTTTACTGGAGAGCCTCATTTACACAAGTCCTGCCCAAGGAGGCTGCAGGATCATGCAAAGGCCTGGGGAAGGGCATGCAAAGCAGCACTGCCACGAAAACCGCTGAGGATGCACAGCCAGAAAAATCTGACCCAGAAATGTTTGGCTTGTCCCAGACCCCAGAGCTCAGTGGGGACAAGGACAAGTGTCACAAGCAGCGTGCCACGACCACGGGCACAAACCCACAGGGGCACACGACCCAAACACATGTCCCTCTCCTAGTGCCAGCCCCAAGGGCAGGGCTAAGGGATGCTCTCACAGGCACACACACAACCAAACAAAAGCAGCTTCAGATTCTTCAAGGGAATCTTTCTTTAAGGGAACAATCTGAAGCACATGAAAATTAAGCCCCATATTTTATGACCAAATCCCTGCCAGAGCAATAACCGCCCTGCATGTGAGCAGAACCCAGCAGAATCCCGAAAAGGCACCCAAGTACAATAAGCTGTTTCTTTCATTTGAAACCTTTAATTCAGAGCGCAGGAACGCTTCCAGCCTTCCAAGTCACCGAGCATGCTTCCTACAGCAGGAGCGGGAGCTGAACGGCAGCCAGGTCTGGCACTCGGCGCTGGGAGCTGCTGGCAGGAGCGGGGCTGGAGCCGAGGCACCAGGAGGTGAAACGGCACCGGGGCGGTGATTAACGGGGTGCAGAGCCCCGGGACCAGCCCGGCGCGGGATCCACGCCGCAGGGAGCCAGCACAGCGCTCAGCAGCGGGCTGGGAAAGCTGAGAGAGCCAGAGGGGGATTGGGAAGTGCTCTCCACATGCTTTTCACCCAAGGTTTTCCTGCAAGAACGGGCTTTTGTAAAGCTTGAGCATAAATACACATAAAAGCTAAGAGACGCTTCCTCCGAGAGCAAAGCCAAGATGTCTACCCAGAGACATGAGTCATTTTCAGGCCCAGAGATGTAAATGAAAATCCACAGATCTGGAGTATTCCTAAGCTCCTTACTCATTCTCAGCTCTATATTTGCTCTAAGGAACTCTCATTTCCCAGCTTAATTATATGGCTCGAGCTGACACTCTCAGCCAAGTTCAAGGTATGTAGAGCATCTGATTGCGCCCAACTTGGTCAGTAGGGCCAGACACAACAGAACTGAATTCCTCTGGTTTTCCCTGATAACCGGGGGCAGGAAGGACCAGGCTGCCAGCTCCCCTGTGTCCCTGTGACGCTGTGGGATTTACACGCGCTGAGCGAAACTCCACACCCACAAGACACACAATACCTGGATGAGGAGCAAAGCCACACCAACAGCACTCAGGAGATGTTCTTCTTGAGAAGGACCTCAGAAGGACCTCATCCTGAGCTCAGCAAGCAGCCCTAGACCCAAACCCACCCTCAGCAGTTACACAGAAGAGAGACCTGAAGGGGGTTTCTTCCAAATGTGTTCATTCCACACAAATGCCTCCAGCAACTGATGCAACATGAAAGGCAAAAATCTCCTGAAAAATCCTGGGGAAACCACCTCGTGCTCCGGTTTCAGGAAATGCAGAGCTTCCTCAGGACCCTGCGAGGGTGGAAGGAGGAAATCCCCCCTGCCTGGGCAGCAGGGACACAGGGAATTTCAGGGATGGGGCTGATCGTCCACCCCAGGCTCTGCAGCTGCTCTGTTCCAGAGCTCTGCTCTTTGGGTTCTTTTGGAGAATCACTGCTTTTCCAGAGGGAAGGACTGGTTTAAAGGTTTTCCAGAACAGATCAGCTTGGTTTCTCCATTCCTGAATTTCCTAGCTGGCTAGTATTTTCCCTCAAAAGATGATCAGGGATTTCAACAGAAAAGGGCCTGGCTGAGGTCCTTGTGTTGCACCAGCCACACCGACTCCATCTAAAGCTCAAGGCATGGCCACAATGAATTCAGCCCTTTATTTTATTATTTATTTATTTATCAGAGACTATAAATTGGAAAAAAACCAACCAAACAAAAGGATCTTTAAGTGAAAAATCTAAAGCACATGAAAACTAACCTTCATATTTTATGATAAAATCCCTGTCAGGGTGATAACTGCCCTGCCTCCAAATATATGTATGTGTGCGTATAGCTATCTATCTCTCTCTCTCTCTCTCTATATATATATATATATATATATAATTATTTGTGCAAAAAGAATCAGTTTCAATTAAAATAAACCCCAAACCCCAAAATCAAGTGCATTCCCTCATGCTTACAAACACCACATAAGAGGAAGACTAAATTTCATTAAGTAAAGCAAAAATTCAGGCACAAGTAGAAGTGGAAGAAAACCATGATCTAAATTCTCCAACAATGAAATACTCTAAAAAAGGAGTCTGAGAAATTAACTATTCTTTTATCAGGAGTTAATGAAGCTTACAGGCAGGAGGATAAATGCCAAGCCTGGAGCATGCATGCTGCTACCAATTAACAAAATGTTCCCGCCACTCGTAAACAGTTCATTTATTCCTTCTTGCATCCAAGTAAAACTTGCACTAGTAATTTGGGGAAGGAATTGTTACTTGAGAGAAATGACAAGTTGTTAAAAACAATTGGTGGAGAGCGGGTAAGGCGTTCAAAGTGACAGCTGCAGGTTGCAGGTGTCTCCTTCATTGTTTTTCCAGATTTTTCTTCTCCTGGTGCACCTCAGCTGAACACTGCTCTGTAATTCCTGTGATCCTAAAGCTGTGCTGAGTGTATGTGCACGCTAGGCAAAAGCCTTGCGGGGAGGAGTGGAAATTCCAACCACATGGAAGCAGAAGGGGTAGCTGGGGAATGGAAGGAGGGGTGCCAGAACTCTGGAAGGCCAAAGGGAGCACCCAGCTATCCCTGGTACCAGCACACCCCTCTGCATCCCCTTGAAGTCAGGAGGGATGGAAGGCACACGTCAGGCCAAGGCAGCGAGGTGGCTTCAGTCACCCAGGAGTGCTCAGAGGTGTGAGCTCCTGGGGAGGAGCCCAGGCTGCCCCTCTGCCCAGCAGACAAACCCTTGACAACTCCTCCTCTCAACTCACAGGATTCTCCTGAAATTCCCAAAGTGTAATACAAACAGCTCTGAGATACCAGATTTTCAAATCTGGCAGCAAGCAGAGCTAAATATGCCAAGGTGAGGGGCTCTGAAACAAGGCACAGGGTTTGGAATAGGAGAGAGGAGAGTATCAGCTTGCAGGAGTTAAAATTTATATGGACATCTTGTTTCTCAGCTGAGTGTGGATAACAATCCAGCCAGACTTCCTTGAATGCACAGTGCCCTGCCAAGAGGAAGGGAAGTGAACTGCTGGGTGCCCAGGCGGATGGGCAGGGAGAGGACAGCCGCTGTGCCCTGCACTGCTCCAGCTGCTTGGAAAGGCTCTGAGAGAGAAAGAGGTGGAAGCACGGTCTGTTTTCAGTGGAAAGGAGCCATGGGACACTGCTTCCTTTTATTCCCGTGCTGTGAACAAAGGAACAAGCCAGAGACCCTGGCCTGGGCTAAAATCTGCTCCTTCATGCCACGCATCTGCTTGGATCCAATTATAATCCAATGATAAATAAACTTTCTTGCACGAATGATCATTCCATAAAGAAATCACCTTTTCCTTTTTAGTTCACTTGTTTCTGCAGTGGCCTGAATGAAAATCAGAAACCTTCACTTCTTCCAAAAGGAGCCCATGTGCTCAGTGTGATCAGTGCTCACTGTAAAAGTGTAATTATGGCAGTGGCATTCCTGCAAATCAGCACGGGTCTCCTCCATGGAATGGGAGCCAACAGATGGCACCGGCAAACCGACTGCATTGAGAAAATCAACATGTTTATTTGGGAGCAAGGCATTTCCTAGAACTGTCCCGGGGAGTCCTCCTGCTCCAGATTCCTCCTGGAAAACACTCAGTAAACAGTGCCTGGTGTCCTCTGCCATGGTGGAGGTGTCACCCCGAGGGCACAGGGCAGACTGCAGCCACACGGAGAGCTGTCACCAGAGTCTCTGGAATAAATGAATAAGCCTGCAGAAGGCTCATCCACCCGAATTCCTCCTGCATTTCCAGTTGCAAAGGAGCCCCTTCTCCTGTCCACTGCAGCCCTCCTGGGCTGACAACGTGAGCTGTCAGAGGGGCTGACAGGGAGCAACTCTTCCAGCTGCTCCTGCCTGCCACAAACACTTGGGAAGCTCGGGAACACGGCCTGTTTGGATTAAGCAGCTGCTGGAGGGGTAAAAATCACTCCTGTAAGCAGATACCAGAGCTGCACAGGAGAACTGCAGCAGCAGGGACCAGAATCACAGCGGAGAAGGGAGAAACCAGAGGGATAAGGAGGCACACACTGGAGAGATGATATGAACCACAGGCAGAGGCACTCAGCTGACATATTGACA